GGTTTCATCTGCTGCACTGTCCGCTCAATGATACGCCTCCCACGCTCAAGGGAGGACAGAAAAGCAACTTCATTCTCATTGATGATATCCATAACCTGCCCAAAGAACAGAAGAAGGGTTACCCATAACATCACAGGAAGCTCTCCAGCTCAGCTCAGCCCTGCCACCTCTGGGCTCGCTGCTAGAGGCAGCTCAAACAAATCAAGTGGATCTCTAATGGGTGCTCTGTCTGCATGAACCAGCATCCATTATTTTGTGTCTCTGCTGCACTATTAAACAGTGCCAAAGTCATTTTGTCTCCTATCATCATCCCTGATAATACTTACCATCCACCTGGGAAGAGATGGATGCTGAAACAAATGTTCCCTGTTACACTTTTGTTATCTATGACCCAATTAAAATTGCATGGCTGAAACAGACAGAGAAATTGCCTTTCACAGCTGCTGTCAGCAGAAGCAAGCAGGGACTAGCCTTAAATCCCCAAGCCACTTTGGACAAAGGGTACTCAGGCTAGAACAGACTGTACTTGCATTCAACAAAATAGCTGCCCTAGCTTTTCCAGAGCAACAGCTGCCTTTTATCAGAACAAAGAGTCCCTGCTAATGATCTAATAGAGCTCCCACAACAAAGTCCACTAAATATACTTCTCAAGCCCAGGCAGTGCCCACAATGCAGACATGGTCCCAACACATCCCAGCCTATACATGAGAACCCTGCTATGGAGTAGGCTATGCAAACTCCTCCAGCTAAGATCTGTGAATGGGTTCTGCCTCTGAGAATAGTGCCTTACAAAGACCATGAGAGAGGGAGGTCTCTTTCCAGGGTTTCTGCATTGCTTACCTGGTCTGCACTCTTCCTCAGCTCTGGATAGGCATCTCCCTGTAGAGTATCAGTTAGAGATAACACCAACCTCAGACAGTATCACATGGGAGAGTCACACCCATACTTACAGCTGCTGTCTCCTGGCTATCTCCCCATAACCCTACTCAGCTAACCCTTGCACAGCACCTCTGTGGCAAACACATCAGTTCACAATGGGCAGAAAGCACTGTCATTTAAGATGCTGTTAGTAATCACAGAGACCAATCTCAGAAAGCTTTAGCCAGATATGACAGCTCGGAAACTGCTGCCCTGAGGAAACAAGTGAGTAGTTGCATATATTTATGCTTATTTGGGCTGACTGTATCATTAGTTACAATAGCACAGCTCCCCATCACAAGCGATCCACAGACAAGAGATGTTTACTGTTGCAGTGCACCAGATACACCCTCCTGGTACTCCATTCTGTCCAAGGTTGTCTCCTGACATTGCACAGGATACAAACATGGAGCTGAAGAGAATGTCTGACACTTGTCTTCTCTAAAGCAGTAGCTCTTACTTACCAGCACTTCCACTACAGTAGGCACGAGGGAGGCCAAGAGCCCATGTGGAGCATGAAGGACTTCAGAACAAAAGCGAACGGCCCTGCGCAGAATCCGACGCAGCACCAGTCTGAAAGCAGGGCAGAATTCCCCAAGCAGCATGTGAGCATCTCTGCCCAGCACCCACAGTCCAGCGCACCCCCCCACACAACCCCTCTTTGGCCTGGCCTAACTGCCAAAGGTTGGTTGCTCCACATACTCTATACCCAATCCAAGGATGAGATGCAGGTCTGAACCTCTTTCAGGCTCTCACATGAATCTCTCCACATCTTTGGTCCACATTAGCACCTTTCCCCCGGCTCCAATTCCCTTCTGGACCTAATTTCCCTACTGGAAACTACGCAGTTTCCATATACCCTTACTCTGCTCCAGAGAGGCCTGGGTAGATGCCATCAGTGATGCACACACACAAGGTCCGCACATGATCTGCCACCACACGGTAGGCCATATCCACATGCCCAACATCAGCATTCCCAACCAGACCTTGGTATCTGGGCCCCCCACAGCCCTGAAAGAGAAAGTGAGGAGACCACAGATCAGCAGAAGGATGCAGAAGGAAAAGTTCCAATGCAACAGGCAGCCAGGTACACTTGACATCATGCTTCTCAACTACTCTGTGAATGTAAGACAAATTGATTAAATCCTTCCAGAACATTAGAGACCAAAAGTTTTGTACCTAAGACAGGTCAGCCAGTGTCCTAGCCCTAAGAAATCTAAGACACTTAGAATTAAAAATGGATCATCGATGCTGCTATACTAGTGGATTTCCAGTGTGGAATTGACCCTGAGTTTCCCTGTCTGGGGCCTGGCCAGACATACCTCCTGTCTCAAAATACTGTGTAAAGAAGGCAAGGCTGTAGTATGGCATGAGGCAAATAGCTTGCTCCAGAAGAGCTTTACTTAGCTGTGACTGTAAACAGGATCACCTTGTGAATGGCATCCAGGATGGGAGTGAAGAGATCTGTGTCGTAGTTGGATCGTTTGTTCTGCAGAACCGTCACCAGCCTTTCTAAGCCCATTCCTGTATCCACATGGTGCTGAGGCAAGGGAAGCAAGTTCCCCTCCACCTCTCTGTCAGCAAGTTAGGAAAAATAAAAGGCAGAAGAAAAGTACCAGTCAGTTCTGGGCAAAGAAGAGATGTACTGGAGATGCAGAGGATGGGAGTGCAATAAGGGAGTGATGGGATAGAAGCAGCAGGTAATTCAACACAAGATAACTCAGGGACAAGACTAACGGCAGCCTGCCTTGGCACTGACTGGCAGCCAGGCTCTGGTCATCAGATCATCAGGTTATACTGCAATAGATGGAAAAAGGATTTTTCAAAACAGCAGTCTTCTCACCCTGCAAGTGTCTCTGTACTGCTGCAGACCTGATCTCTGGTGTAATAATTTAAAGGAGGAATGGATAAAAGCTAAGGAGAACCACGAGTCTCAGTGGATACATCCTCCCAGCTTCTCCTTTGCTCCTCTACTGCCACCTCCTGGAAAGCAGTGAGGTGCCTAAAAGTATACATGCATGATTCAGATGGCACGTAACAGAGAAAGGCACTGGAGTTCAGAGGAGGTTCCTGGTACCTGCTATACTGCATGAAGACCAGGTTCCAGATCTCCACTACATCAGGGCTGCCCTGGTTCACCAGTGCTGAAGCATTTCTTCCACCACCCACATGGTCATAGTGGATCTCCGTGCAAGGACCGCAGGGACCTGTGTCACCCATCTCCCAGAAGTTGTCCTTCATTGGGAAAGGCAGCACGTGGCTGGCAGGCACTCTGGAAAGGCAAACAACAGAGGTGGCAATGTTGGTGTGCACATGCAAAGCACACGGTTACACTATATCACAAGGAAAATGAAAAGGATAGAGCCTCCTTGACTACTACAAACTCAGAATCCAAATGCATTAGGACTTGTTTGCTTCTGTTCACGTAGAATTAGCCTCCTTAGCAGCAAAAAGCTGTATCCCTCGTCACTGCTGAGAATGGCCAGCAAAACCAGCATGGCTCCTGCTGATGGAGACAGATGTGTCACTGGGTTTGTAGAGCCACTTTTCTCCTTGGAAAGAATTGCACCAGAGCCATGACATGAGGAACAAGACTGACCATTACAAATAGCACTGAGCTGGCTGCCTTGGGCCCAAAGCTCACGTACAGCCTAGAACAAACTCCCAAACTGCATATATATATATATAGCCATATATATATATATGGCTTTATCATCACATTAAAACAGCAATTGCTAGCAGAATGCAGACGGCACAACTCCTTGTGGAGAAGAAGTAAAGGATCACAGACATCTTTAGCACACTGCATCCAGGTTAGAAAGCCTGAGGCATACAGCCACAGACCAACTGCACCTGAGCAGTAGCTTAAAGGTAAAATGATCCAGAGGATGAAGAGTCCAACTTTCAGTAACCCAAAGGAAGAAAAAACTAAATGAGTCGAAGACTCACTGCCACATCTATCTTCCGTCAATTAAAGAACAAATGAGAGACTATGGAGACTTGGATGTCAGTATCTAATGCTCAGAGCCCCTTCTCCAGCATGCTTACCCCAAGCTGAGCCATACATCCCTGCACTCCTCATCTGCGCTCAGCCCCAGTGAAGAGTCTCCGCCAAAATACGTGACATAGAGACGATCCTTTGGGATCTTGTAGACCTCTGTCAGGAGCTCCCAGGCCATGCTACACGCCTCCTCCTGAGCAGACAGGGACACAAAGGAAGCGCAGGAATACAGAGCGGAGTGAGAAAAGGGGGTTCTTCAAAATGACAGGCACCAGAGAAGCATGTTTAGCTCTAGCTCTCTGTAAGCAGTTGCAGTGATTCAGCACAGCACCTGACCCCTCAGCTTTGCACCACAGAGTTTGGAGCTGTAGCGCCCATGACAGAGTGCAGCACTGGTATCACAGTACAGCTACGATGCTCGAAGAAAAGGCCTGCACGTCCCCCTCCCAGATGAGGACTTGTTCTTGCCACCTCACCTTGAAGTAATCCCCGAAGGACCAGTTCCCCAGCATCTCGAAGAAGGTGTGGTGGTAGGTGTCACGGCCCACGTCCTCCAGGTCGTTGTGCTTCCCCCCAGCACGCACACATTTCTGGCTGTTCACCACCCGCCGCTGCTGCGCCAGCTCGCTGCGGGGATGTGCCGTGCCAAGGAAAACGGGCTTGAACTAGAGAGCACGGGAAAGAGACACTAGCAGCTATCGCCGGCTGCTACCCACGCTCATGCGGGGAGAGAATCCGGGAAGGGCTGGGCCCGCACCTGGTTCATGCCCGAGTTGACGAAAAGGAGGGTCGGGTCGCCGCGGGGCCGTACGGGGGCGGAGGGCAGGCAGCGGTGGCCGTGCTTCTCCTCAAAGAAGCGGAGGAAGGCGGCGCGAATCCGCCCCGCAGACGGGCAGGCGGCACCGCGGCGTGGGCAGCAGGGCCAGGACCGCCGCACCGCAAGCAGCGCGAGGCGCAGAGGACTGGCCGCCGCCATGTTGGCCGAGGGCGGAAGTCAGTGCGGCGGCTTCCGGCAGAGGCGAGGGCCGACGGGACGGCGGAGGAGCGCCGGGAGCCCAACCCGCTGCGGGCCGAGGGCGGCATGGCGGCGTGCGGGGCGTCGCGGCCGGCCTGGTGCCTGCGGAGGGTCGGGGTGGGCGGCGGCTGGCTGCTGCTGGAGGCCGGCACGCAGGTCAGCGGGGCGCGGGAGGCGGCCCTTCAGTGGGAAGGTTGGGGGGAGGCCTCCTAGAGCGGGCGTGGTGGAGTCCGGTAGTGGAACGAGGGGAAAAGCCGAGGCTGGGCTTTCAGTGCGGGGGGGCGGGGGCACGGGGGGGAGATCGGGATCTGAAGCTCAAATTCGTGCGTACCTCGCTATTACGGTCCTTAACGTCAGCTCACGTCTGATAGAAGCTGTTTGTGCGACTGTAGTGTAAGGGAAAAAGGCCTCACTTTCCGGGGTTAGCGCTGTACGGCCTATAAGATTTTTGTGCCTCAGTTACTTAGGTGATACTTTGTATTTGCTTCCATCGTATCTCAGGAGCACATAGGGAAAAGCGTTCAAGGGTGGGTTTGGAGCCGGGAGGTGTGCACACATGCTCAGCAACAGGTGCACGTTGCTGAGTATGGAATGTGCCAGACTTGCAGCACAGGCTGTGTGAATTGCATGGAGAATCTCGCTGAGGTGAAGCTCTCTTTGCTGCAGCACTCTGCTGTTGGTGAGCTTTCACAGGAGAGAAGGAGAATGGAGCTGTGCTTTAAACGGCAGCCTGCAATTAGATCAGATTTAACAAGCTACTATGAAACTGTACCATGCCCTTATGCCTGCTTCTTGCAGAAGATGCTGTTGGATTCTGATCAGATTATTTAGCTTACTTTCAGGCTGGTTATAAGCAGCATATAGTTTGGGTATCATGACAGTTTTCTGCGCTATTTTTGTCCCATATCTTTCCTGTTTACAGAGAGTTGAACAGATGCTGTTAGCTAAAGAAGAGGGTAGGACATAAATTTGAGACCCACACTATTGCACTGGTTTGAAGAAATACTGGTTAGTTAGGATATGAACGAGGTAAGGCATGGATGAAGTGACAGCTACTTTGAGCAGCTTTGCTGCTGAGAGAATTTGCTGTGAGACCAAGGCTGTAACCTGTCTTGCAGCAATCAAATTTTTATCAGTGGGAGAGAGAGAATCCTTCAAACTTCGTTTTTTAGTTACTCATGAATTTAAAGAAAAACAAACATAGCAACATACTATCCTGAACTGTTGGGAAATAGCAATAAGATGCTAATCAAGGTAGATTTCTGCTGTGTTTATATTCATCTCATGCGACCTCTATTTATTATCTTGCTGATTCTTATTTCAACGTCTTTATTTTTAGGTAACTGTAGGCCGGGGATTAGATCTCACGTACCAGCTGGTGTCAAAAACCTGTCCCTTGATGATTTCTCGTAAGCACTGTGTTTTCCAGCAAAATGCAGAAGGGCAGTGGACTGTTAAGGATAATAAGGTACAGAGACCGACTAAAGACCTTTTACTCTTAGTTTCACTGTATTCACTATTCACTGTATCACTATTTGATTGCCTGTTTGGCATCAAATAATGTATGATCTTTGATTATAATACGGTGTGAATGTGATGGAAGGTTTGTGGAAGCACAGTTGTGTCTGTTGTGCACTTGTAGCAGGAAGCTTTGGTCTGCTGCAGTTGGGATACAGGCCTTATTGCTTTCTATATGTATACTTATCCCTTGGTCTAGCATTTTCAGGCAATTACAGTCCTACACAGAGCACTCTGCAGTTTGTGAAATTGCTTTGTGTTCCTCTAATTTAAAATAAATAATTTAGTAGCATTCAAAAAGATAAATGTGATTGTACTGCTATGAAAAGGATACACTGATGCTGCAGTGACAAAATTGCTCTGATTATAACCACCTGCAATGAGAATCTGTTGTTAGGAAAAAAAAAAAAAAGCATGCATTGCATTGACTTCAAATGTATTCTAGTTAAAGTCCTCCTCAGCTGATTAGAATGTAGAAAAACTGTTGAGACCAGAGTCTTCAGCTAGGTCTGTCTTTTCCAGTGGCGATTCCTTTTTTTAATCATGAACTCTGCACTTTCACAGTTGTGCTGAAAGCTGTGGAATCAGTAACTTGCCTTAAAATAGCACCAGCACAGCAAAAAACATTCAGTTCATCATACAGTCTTGAAGGATGTTTAGGTCAACAACAGATTAGCCAAAAAGGAAGGGATTGGCTGCTGTTAAAATTACTCTTAAACAAGGCTGTAGTGGAGTGATTGTACAATTTTGAAATTTTACTGTGTGTGATTGGAAATATCTATGGTAGAGTAGCTATTAATGCCTCAATGTAATCACTGCTACCATTTTTGTGAAGTTGTTTTGTTGAATTTCTTTGAGGTATGTCAGTTGCTTGTGATTCTGCAATTCATCCTGAGCACAGCTCTGTTTCTAAAAACAATTTCTTGAGCTAGTGCTTAATTAAAAATACAAACAAACAAAAAAAAACCCACATCATTTTCTGATGAGAGCATCATCTCTTGAAGAATCTTTCCCTTGTTTGTATTTCCTTTGTATTTATGAGAACTGTCTCATTTCTTTTCTTTCATTAGGCAGTGTAAGCTATGGTCATTTTTCTTTTCTAGTTTCTTCTTGGATTTCAGGTGACTTTGTCAAGAATAATTACTGCAGTGTTCTTTGCTCTTGTCAATGATGTATTGCAGAATTTTTCAGCTGGATAGTTCTTATTTCCCCTGAAGCTTTTGGGTACTTTCTTTCCCTTACACTTAATTCTTTTCCATCTGCAGAAGTGCATATATTAATTTTGTTCTTGTACACAAAAATCTGCAATGTGGTGGTAATAATACAAGGTAAATAATATAATGCATTGACTGTAATAAATGGGGCATTGGGCCATTAAGTTGGATATTGCAAGGTTTATTTAAAGAGGTGGCTTGTTCTGACTGCAATACTGCAGAGACTGGATACGTTTACAGTTGCCAGAAATAACTTGCAGATGCCTTTGTGCCGTATATTGAATCTTGCTGATTCTTTGTTTATATTCAGAGTCTAAATGGAGTTTGGCTTAATAAACAACGTCTGGATCCTTCAAAAACCTATCCTTTAGCAGAAGGAGACCGTATCCAGTTGGGAGTGCCTTTGGAAAACAGAGAGACTGCTGAATATGAGTATGAAGTAATTAAAGAGGAGTGGGAGAAAATCAGACCCTTTTTAGCCCAGAGGAGTGACCTGGGTAAAACCAAGAGCTCGAGGTCTAAACGTAAATTTACTTTGGAAGAATCGGAGACGTCTGGCTCAGAAGGCCCTTCAAATTCCAGATCCAAAAGGGACAGAGTGTCATGTGATGGTGAACCTTTGAGTAATCTGTTGGCAAGAGTAGGAGAGACAAAGCAGTTGACAGACAAGATGGAGGTCAAGCTGCCCTCTGCTGGGTCAAGTGAGGATGATGGGGGTCCAGTGCGTGGTAGCCCTGATTGCTCTGAGAAAGCTGTGGCTGTTGCTCACGAGGACCAGAAACACTCTGTTCTTTCTCAGTCATGGACTGGCCTGGAAAAGCTGAGGAAAACTCTCATAGATATAAAGAAGTTAAAAGTCAAAGTGCAGGAGAAACAGACAGCAGTTCTGAATGCGAAGCAGAAGCGCAGGAAGGCTGCTCAGAAGACAATCCTAACGATGGAAAAAGAGCTGCAAGAATTGCAGGACAAGCTGTGCACAGAACAAGTGCAGCATCAGCAGCAGGTGGAAGAGCTGGAAAGGACATTCTCTAAAGAGAAGCAGAAGCTAGAGGTATAATGGTTGTAATCATTTTGGTCTGTGTGTTTTGAGATTTTTTTTCTTTCAATTTTGAAATTAGAACTCTGACCCTGTGTGGTTACAAAGAGGACAAGTTAAAAAGTGTTCACCTTAAGTGGGAATTTTTTCTGGTATACAGCTTTTTCTGAATTAATGCTAAATTCATGTGGGGAATCCATTTCCTTTTCAAGCAAGTGCATCATTGTTTGCCTTTCTCTCTTAATTCAGAGCTTGAGGAAGGAGGGTTTTGTGCTGGTGTTTTTGTTTTTTGTTTGTTTTAACATGAGAAAAATAGTCTGTTCTTGCTACCTGCAAATGCCTTCAAGCAGTATATGTATGTTGATAACTTTTTTTAGATAGGAAGCTACAAGTCTTTCTGTTTGGCTTTATTTAAAATCAGGTTTAAAGGAAGTAAGAATACTTCTGGGAGTTACCTACAGAGTTATCAGTTACTTCCTTTAAAGTCTGCTGCTAAAAGCAGGATACTGTATCAGAAGTGCAGGAGGTTTGGAGCTGTGTGCTTAGGACAAAAGGAAGTTCAGCTGAAGCTGTAACTCCGCCTGGCCTATTTAAATGTATTCCGAGATAGAGCTGCAGCTTTTTCTCATGTGTAAGCTATTGCCAGCTTCCTGGCTTCTGGCAACATTGCAGTGTCTTCAGAGCTAGAGCAACATGGAATTGTTCCAAGTATGGAACTGTAAATGATACATTCATTTTAGCTCTTCACAGTAAAGGAGAGCTGTAATTTCAGTAGTACACATGAATTGCTAGAGTGGAGCTTTTCAGGTTTTGGTTTTGCTGAAAATCAGTATTGTTGCTTAAAGTATATCCTCTAAATGTGCAAAACAGTTCTTTTCATTCCTGTGTTATCTTCAAGTATTTTTTTTTCTTCCTCCAATAACAAAAACATCTAGTTTTGGTGTTTCATTTTTTTTCAGGGAGAGAAATGGCAAGATGGGGAAGAGAATCTGAAGGAGCAGCTGGCCCAGGTTCTGCAAGAGGCAAGTAATTAAGTCTACTTGGTCTAACTGTTGAACTCATATACTTAAATCTTACTGCTTCCACTCTTGGTGGAAGACTAGGACGGTGCCTGAAGTGCATTTGGAGTGGTCTTCATCTTCTACAGACCAAATTATGGTCAGAAAGTGACAGGCCTTTTCTGGGAGTTGCTGTTTGCCAGCAGATAACACGAGAATCTGTACTTTTAGAAAGTATTAAGTAGCTGTAGTGATTCTACTTGAATCTGGTCAACGTGCTGGTGGACATTTTTATGAGGTCTGTCCTCTGGTTATCTGTTTTGGGAAAGTTGCCTTGGAAGATTTAAACCACAGGAAAAAGAATTAGTTTTGGTTAGGAGTGTTTTTGAAAGAGATTGTCACATGCTTAGTTTTCCTAGGCTTTCTGTCTGAAAGGCCTTTCCTTTTGGAAGGCTAATCCAAAAAGAGATTGAGCCAGCCCTGCTGCATGTGTTGACAGGCTTTCATGACACTTGTGTGTCAGATGCTCCATGACATTCAGATGTGATGGATGCACTCAAGACTGCAAACAGAAAACCAAGCTGAAATGTAAAGTAAATTGCAGATGTTGCCAAACCATTGGAGTCGTTAGGCTGAATTTTAACATGCCTTTCAAAATGGTGTGGCCTGTTAAGACAGGCTTTGAAAGTGGAATGAAATCATGCAGTCAGTTATTCAGCGATACTGGAAGGTGACTGGAGTGATATGTTGAGTTTTCTTTATGAACTTCTGTGCTATTGCTCACCATCTCAGAGGCTCAATCTTTGTTTTGAAAAGTTTACAATCAAAGTAGATGAGCAAAGATGTAAGAACACATGATGCATCCAGTATGCTGCAATAGCAGCTGGAGTCATTAATTTTATGATCATGGAGTGGTGCCTGGAATGTGCTGTGTCTGGTAGAACATTCATAAGCTGTATTAATAGCACAAAGCCTTCTGAGTGTTGGCTGCTTGTGCAGGTGCTTGTTTTGGTTATGAAGCAGTTGTTTGCTACTACTTTGTAGATTTTCTCCAGTGCCATAACTAGGAAAAATCAGGAGAAATCCAGCTAATTATTGAAAACTTTGAGGTCGTACTTTTGGGCATTTTCCTCTCTGCAGCTTTCCACCAAGTCATATGGAGCTTATGAATAAGTTTTAGGTATATTTAAAAATAATTATGTGAACAACCTTTCTTCTTGTCTGATCCATGTCCTGTGACAGTCCTGCCTATCATTTCTGGTAGAATCCAATATTGTGTAAGCTCCAACTCCAATTAGAGTCAGAGTACACAGGATACAGCTGCTTTGGTTATCCATAGGGAACTTCTGTAGTTTGAGTAAGCTCTGTTCAGAAAAGTTGCTTTTGTACTGTCTGATGTGCAGGTTCATTCTGCAGTGCATAGAATCGTAAAATGGCCTGGTTTGAAAAGGACCACAATGATCATCCAGTTTCAACCCCCCTGCTATGTGCAGGGTCACCAACCAGCAGACCAGGCTGCCCAGAGCCACATCCAGCCTGGCCTTGAATGACTCCAGAGATGGGGCATCCACAGCCTCCTTGGGCAACGAGTCATTTATTATCACATTTTAATTTTTACTACCGTGTCCTACAGTGAGTTTTGCTGTGGACTTTATGACTTTTTTTCTCCTCATTCATTATTGTATGGCATGTATTTCTTGTTTAATGCTGCTTGCTTTTATCTTGTAAAACTACAGGATTTTACATGCCATTTGTGTCACTGCAAGAAGGGAGATGTCTAATGATAGATGAGAATGAGTAAATTGGGAGAGGAAATTAAAAGTATCGTGCTGCTGGGAAGATCATAAATAACTGACATTACATTGCAATTGTAAGTTCAGGGTGAACTGCCTTAACTTAACACCCTGGCTCATATAGACAGGTGTTGCTCTTTTAGGAGAAGACAGGAGAAAGGAGTATGCTGAACCTCATGATTAGAGCCATGTATATTTAATAGGGTAGCTTATAATAACACTCTTATTTTTGGGATGGTGTCATTACAGCATCATGCTCTGATGGAAGAACTGAGCCGTAGTAAAAAAGATTTTGAGGAGATAATTCGAGCCAAGAATAAAGAACTGGAGGAAACCAAGGTAAGGAATAAAACCAAGTTCTCCATGACTGAAATACGATATGCTGTGGCAGAATAAATGGTTTAACATTTGCTTTGACTGTGTGTTGCCTTCTGTGGTGAAAAGCTCTTGTATTTTGGTCTGGCAGCTGATTCAGATTTCCAGAATTTGCATGGAAATATGAAAGAGTGGGGGGTGAGGGTAGGGATCATCAGTAGATGTACTCTTTGCTCTGTTTGTGAAGTAGTATTAGAGAGTTATTACCAGATCTTTCTCCATGAAACAGAAAGCACAGGACATCTGAACAACATCTTGTGCACCATTCTTTAAAAATAAAAAACTGCATGGGAAAAGTGGGTGTTTCATTTTGAGTTTGCATGGACTCAAGAGGAACTGCAGTGTGTTCCTGCAGTCAAACAAGGGAGTACAGAATTGAAACAACATTAAATTTTAATAATGAATGTTTCTTCCAGCCTCTGTCAACTTGATGAATGGAAGATAATTAAAGGGATCTTGTGTTATGTTCTACACTTGGAAATTATGCTGTTTCATACCTTTGGCTATTTGCTTTGCAACTTCATCTTTGCAACTGTTGCTTTAAGGATAGTTCTTAGAAGATGTAGCAGATGCCTAGAAGCCTAATTTAACAGCAAAATATGTTGGTCAGTTAAACACAAGTAAATGTTTTAAATTATTATATTTACTTTTCTAATATTTGTGTTATTTTGTTTTGCTCTTTACATTAGACATCCAACCGTTATGTTAACTTAATCCAAACTCAGGCCAAAAAGAGCTTATAAGAGATTTTGAGAAGACTGATCTGGTTTGTAGTTTCTTTAGGCTGAAGGGGACTTTAGTAATGGTTACTCTTTCTTGCAAGCTATACTCTATAATGGACAGGAATGTTCTCAGTACTGCTGCAACTACACAAAGGAGGGAGGTTACAAATCTGGATACATAACAAACACAGACTTAACATGGAAAAACTTAAAGCTGCATGATTTTTTACTTGTATTACCTTCCTCCACACATGCAGTTCCACCATTATTGCATTAAGCTTTGTTGTTCATAACTGAACTGTTTGTTTTTCTGATAGGTGGAGAAGGAAAAGGTGAGAGCCCAAAAAGAAGAAGTGTTGAATCAGATGAATGATGTGTTAGAGAATGAGCTGCAGTGCACGATCTGTTCTGAGCACTTCATTGAGGTATGTTTAAGCCAGTATGGCTTTGCCAGTAAAGAAGAGACTTGAAAAGCTTTCTCTAGTTCTGCTAAAGCAATAGTCAAGCTTTCTTTTCTTCTGTAACCTAGCAGACCCAACAGATGACTTGTGGTAAGGGTTGATCCAGAAACCCATTCTGTCTGCTCTAAAAATTCTTCTGGGTAACAAATTTGGCTTTAATGTCTCTCCTTGCAGAGGTATGAATGCTTAATCCCAAGATGCATTCAGGCTTGCAGGAGCTATTAGTGTTCGAACTGGTGCTCTTGAGGTGCTGCTGGCAGCCTGCTTAGTCATTCTATGGTAGACCTTGCTTCAAGTTGACTGGGGTTGGGCAGCTTCAGTGTTAGATGTAAGAACAGGCTATAAGGGAAGGGAAGTGCAGTGTTCATCGAGTTCTAAACTATTTATGTAGTTCACGTAAAGTTCAGAAACTGATTTGAGAAGGAATAGGCAGATGATGCCTGAAATGTAGACTGTTCTGTCTGTTCATGTTTTACTGGAATTTCAGTTTCATTCAATTCGTTTCTACTGTAGGAAACCTGTTAGCTTTCTTAAAATGACTTAGGAGTTGGTTAGAATTTGAGTTTCTTATTTCAGATGCAGAATATTATCTTAAACTACCTCAGTTATTCTAAAATCTGACCTTTTCAAACTGGGGGATGTTATAATGCAGTTCATTTGTTCTGTCAGTTTTTCTGGCTTAGCTGTAGGGTTGCTGTGATTATGGTGAATCCACTAATGTGTAAACTTGCCTGTACTCTGGCATGTGAGAGTTGTAAGTGCAGCCCCTCCAGAGGCTAAAAAAAAAAGGCCTTTGTGCTTCTTCCCCAGCCTTTTCTCATAGGAAGCATTCAGTCAACGTGTTCTGACTTTGAGGTTTTTTTCTTTACAATGCTTGTGTGAGCACGCTCTCATAAGTATCTCTCCCTCAAATTGCACAGGCAGTCACTCTGAACTGTGCACACAGCTTCTGCTCCTACTGTATAGACGAGTGGACAAAGCGCAAAGTGGAATGCCCCATCTGCAGGCAGGAGATTAAGTCGAAGACACGCTCTCTGGTGCTGGACAACTGCATTGACAGGATGGTAGAAAATCTGGATGTGGAAATGAAAGAGCATCGCCTGACCCTGATCAGAGAGCGGAAAGGTGAGAGGTGGGTGGATGTGGCATGATGAGTACAATCTCTCATTTCATCTATTTCGTCCAACTTTGGCACCTATATACTAAGGAGATGCTCAGGAAATGCTGCAGATATACTGGACAATATTCATTGTTGGTAGAATCAGCAAATTGAGACGGGAAAATGGTTTTAAGATATGCTGTATTACCAGCTTTACTGCACGGTAAAATAAAAAAACATTGGAGAAAGACTTCAGTATGAATTTCACAGTCCATCTGGAAGACTTAAACATACTAATGGCCCTACCAAAAGATTTTAAAGAGATCACTAAAGAAGAGCAAAACTTGAGACTTAAAAAATTGACCTTTTTGATTGAACTGTCAACCACATCATTGCAAAAACACAGCAGAGCAATGCCTAATGATAAACTCTGAATTATTTTTGACATGCTAGATTTGTGTAGAAATCTCTGAAGGGAATTTGGGGAGTATGTCATGTAAGTGAAAGCATGGCTGAAATGACAGTTACTCTTCCATACTAATTCTTAAGGAATTTATCTATGTGATTTTAACACAAAAAATTGTTGTAGCTAAAAGACTGTGCATGACCATATGGGCTGTGAGTAAAATTCCAGTATGGAGGTATTCCTCTTCTGCTTACATCTTCCAGTGTTGTTTCTAGAGCAATTGACTCTGGTATCTAGGTGCTGAAATGTACTACTTCTTGCTACCTATTAACGAGTTTCTATTGTGTTCCCTTAAATAATTTTCCTGCTACCCCCTCATAGAGTGCATGATCCTTCGTTTTGCAGTGTGTCAAGCCTTTTTGAAATCCTTCCTAACGAAGGTGCTTTTGAAATATTTCAGGTTCTGCATGGTGACATAGAATGACATGGCTAAATGGTGTTATTTCTTATCTGAAATAATCACCCATTTAACCAAGCCAGTCTGATTCCCTCGGGAAATGCTTTGCTGCCCGGAAGTTGTCCGGCATGGCTTCTTGATTTGCTTTCACCTTTGCTGAACTAATACTGCTCTTGCATAATACGCACTGCTTCAGAATATGCTGTAGCACTATTGAAGTGTCTCATCAGATATCTGATGGAGATTAGATGAAGTGCTGCCTTTATTGGAGCAGCACTCCGATGAAACTTTGGGTTTCACGTGAATGTAGGCTGTAAATAGATAAAATGATTAGTAGTAGGAAATCATATAGCTTCACCATGGTGCGCTTCAGGAGGGAGAAAGAATTGTTTCTGTGTGATCTGCTCATTCAGTGATGGAAACTTGTGATTGGGAGGGAGACAGCCATGTGTCTAACTCAGTGTGAACTCCTAAGAAGAAATCAGTTGAAATTGAAATAATGAAGGAAGTAGCACTTGAAAAGCCCAGTCAGATGATAAACTTTAGTACAGTGGACACCAGTGTAACAGTGTGTGCTCTTAAATGTGTGGAGGTTTTGATTGGGCCTTGAGTCCTGAGCAGCCTTTACTTGTTCCTTACCACATTCTGTTGCATACTCCTTTTCTACTTGGCAGGGTGTTGTAATAACTAACCACTGCCTTTTGTCAGCTATGTGCTGCTGAAGGGATCCAGAATGTCTCTTCCTCATCTGTGCTATCTTAACGTGAAGAGACTTATAGGAAAATTACAACAACAAACAATGTTCTTTTAATGCTGAAAATTGAAGCAAAATAATTCCTGTGCCCTGTAGCTTGAAGGACTTCATACTGTTAGTGGGAGGCTAGAAGAATCAAAGAAAAATAGTTTTGGGGAGGAGCATTTGAGGGTACTAATGCTAATTTTTATATCTGTTTTGAATGCAGAGAAACAAAATGTGTTGGTGAACCCAGCCACGGACAATGACAGCAGCATCATTCCTTCCATCTATTCCATCTTGTCAATCAGCAGTTGTGACAGTGAGGACTCTGAGGAGGATTCTTATTATAATGGAAGCTACTGCGTTATCTAAACAGTGTAACTGCAGGCTGGCTTGCCTGCATGCTGACCGGAAACAGTCTAATGGAATTTGGTTTACTACTGCTGGTTGAGTGGACTGGGCGTCTGGAAGGAGAGATTCAGTGAAGAAGCTGGAACTGGAGCTGAGCATTAGCAACGTTTGGAAGAACGACCTTATTTTTTAAGAGAATGTACAGAAGCTTGATCTCTCAAACAAGACTGGGACCGTGGGAGAACAAACTGCTATTATGCTAGATGGTTGACATATAAAACCTAGGTTTCCAGGATCACTTCCGACATACTCAGCGTGGTGTAAATATCTGAATGCCTGCTGTTTTCTGAGTGAATGACACGTTTAAATGCGCATACCAATTTCCCCTACTTCATCCAGCTGGGAGCATAACTAAAGATATTTGAGAACTCGGTCGTTTGCACCAGCTAACAGGAGATATATATTAGAAAAGCATCCCAACATCGGGTTTTCCTCTTGATTTCATGTCAGCTGGAGTAATCCCAGGGCTTTCTGGCCATTAAGTTAAAGGGTGGGTTGTGGACCATGTCAGCCTTAAGTGCTTAAATATAAAATAAGGTGAGCTGCTGGCTTGTTTGTTCAGTTGATGTTATTCATTTTCTGTTGAATGGGGATAGAGAAATCTTCCTGAATTCCTTAGTTTGTGCTCTTTTCATACAGCATCTTTGGCTTGTTCCCTGCATAAAGAGTTTTAGAACTGTGAAACAGCACATCCAGAAGTTATTAACAGTGACTTCAGAGATACTTTCAGTTCTTGTCAGCAGCAGAGAGGAATCTTGGCCTCTTTGTTAAGCTACTACCTGAATGAATGAAATGTGCTGTTGACAGGGTAGTTAAGCAGCACGTAGGCAACCACAAGTAACTACTTTGTTCTGTTGTTTACAAAACATTGCTATTGAGCTGTGGCTTTGCTACCCTCAGAGTTCATCTCCAAGACAAAGCAAGTCTTGCCTCATCCAATCACATCTATGAAATAGTATGAAATTGTCTATGAAATTCCATTTTCAGCAGCATATATTTTTGACTTAGCTTTTAGATGGGGCTGTTATGTCACTGTTAGAGGAGGATGAGGGAAGCCCTCATTTGTAATATTTATTTGGCTGTTTGTACGTACTTTTCTTGTTTCTGTGTTTATTTTGCTGAAGAAGGAAAATATAAATCCATTTGTGCATTAGTCTTCCTTGATGCAAGCAATGAGATAAATGTCTTTCTCTTAGTTATCGTTGAATTTATTGAGAAAACCCAGATTGTTTCTTTTTAATGACTTTGCTTCACGTTTTCATTGCTGTAAGTAATTTGACTGTTTTAAAATTATTTGAAACACTGTATGCAGGAATTGATAAAAGATGTCCTAACTCATCAAGCCTGTGTTAGCAGTGCCTATCTTACCAGTAATTTAGAATATACAACTGTATCTCTTTATTTTCTCCTACTAAAAAAAGATGCCATTAAAAAGGTGCTTAAATGGTAATGCTTTCCTAAGAAAATAGTGCATTCTGGCAGATTTGAGTGGTAAGACTTAAACAAGGGAAAGTTATCTGATGTGTGGGCCAGGCAACTTTCTTAAAGTCTTCATGTGAGGTTTCTCTGGGTAAGGATTACATCTTGAATTTTCCCTATGTCCTTTTAGTGTTCTAAAAGACTGGCTCTTGAAAATTTCCTTTGTACACTCGTGCTCTCTACAATGTCTTGAGAGAAGAGGGCTGCAGAAAACCATAATGAAATACCCTGATGCTGGAACAGGAGTTCCTGTTGAAGAGTAGGAGAATGTTCTGGTTGCCTAGGACTGTGAATTCTTGTACTGTGTAGCTCTTCCATGTTGCTTTGCTTTTTTATTTTATTTTAATTTTCCCTGTTTCATTTTGCTAAACACATTTATTTTCTTGTGTTGGTGTTTATGCACGTACTAGAAAAGGATGATTCTTCTGGTAACAAAGTTCTTTGGTATGCTTTGAGAGTGTGCTATTTTCACTAGAATATAGAGATATTATTCATGTTCTAGTGAGAGGGGACACACTGAACAAAAATGGAATATTTACCCTTTTAAACTGGTACCAATAGTTGCAACAAGATACACATGGAGTAATAAACTTTTTCTGTTTGTCAGTAGGTACCTAAATTGTAAAGGATCAAGGAGAGAGGCTAAGCAGTAATGCTGCTCACTGGCAAAAGCATATCATTGACAAAAACAGACCCTTCCTCCCAGTTCTATAAGTTCTTTGGGAAAACTCTTGTCTGATCCAGACCTGTTGACTGTATGTATGGAAGTGAGTTCCAACTACTGAGTTGTGATGAAGGTACTCCACCATCCTATTTGTCAGGAAGAAAACATACCAAAACTGTGTGTGTGTGTTTGTTTGTTTTTTATAGAGGACAAGTTAAACTGTAGGTATCTTAAATTTGTGCGTGCTTTCTGATACTGCTTATAAAGAAGCTGTGGAAAGGTAAACTAAGTGAGACTATTTCAAGTTTTGTTCACAGCTTAGTGCCTTTCATAAACGAGTTTTCAGTGATAAAAAGATCTAAACTGCACACGTTTCTCTTTTTGGCCATCTAGTTGGCTATGATCAAGCTTAAAATCTTAAACTTTTGCACAGAAGATACCTGTCAGATAGCAGTTATAGAGAACGGAATAAGGGAGGTATTACTCAGACAATATGCTGCTGCAAAGATATGTATCCGAGCATTTAAGTTAGGAAAAGTCATATGCACCAGTAGGTGTTTCCTAATCTATTTAGCACCAACAAGACCCCAGCATAGTAGTGCTGTGCTTGATCTTAGGGACTACACTACTAGATGGGTTTGGAGCAGCAGGAAGAACAGAAAGATTATGAAGACTAAGAAATGTGACCTTGTGCAAATGAGTTAAGAAACTCCAGTTCTCTTTCTCTCTGAAAAAAATAAAAAAGCGGAGGCGACTGTAAGTCTTCAAATGCATCAAAAGCTGTTTCAAAGATGAGTAGTTTGCTTTTCCAGGTTCAGAGTGACTAGCATAAAAAGTAATTATTTTAAATTGCTATAAGATTTCTGATAGCACTTGTTTTCTCCCGGTGTTTCAAGTAAAGATAATGAAATACTAGTACTGTAGTACTGTGAGGAAACAGGATTCTGCAACACAAAAAGCCTTTATGGGCAGGTCAAGCACACTCCTGTTATATCTTTTTCCATCTGTTCCCCTTCCACCTCCAGCAGAATCGATAATAGTTTAAATACTACTATTTTGCTTTCAGAAAAGTTCAGTTAGACAGTTTCTAAAGGTAGTGTCTTTACTCCCACTGGAAACTTCTGGGATTCGCAAACTGAAAAAATGCTGCATTTGTATATAGCTCACCTATGTTCTGGAATATTAGGTGACTACCCAAAGTCCCTTTTTCTGTGATTATTTGGAGCAAGCCATTCTCCCCTGTCCCAGTACCTAAGTTCGCTGCCTAGACTGAAGTCACTTGGTTGGCTTCCTCCTGCATGAGTGGTGCTGTGGTGGCTGTGTGGGACCTTGCCTGCTATTTGCTGCATGGCCATCCAGACAAGGGTGAGGGATTACACAGGAGGAATATCAGTATTTTATTCTTTTTTTAGTGGTGCTGTCACTGCAAAATTGATCCTGCTTCTTTGGGTGTTGTGAAGATGGGTCTTGCTTATAGGATGAGTTCTTCAATCTTTATTAAATGTTGAAATAATTGGTTGGAAATTACTACTGAAGGGTATAATTGTCCTCCTCTGTATGTTCATGGGATTTGGCATGTAGTAGATGATGCAAGCCTAGTTTCTTTCCTTACAAAATTTCTTTCCTTACAAAATCAAACCTTTATCTTTTACATAGATTTGGAGAAGAATAAAATGAATTGCTATAAATTGCCTTATTAGGGAGATACCAATGTTTTGTTTATTACAACAGTTTAAGAACACTGGACCTGGAGAACAGGTAATAACCAATTCAATAGTCCTGCATTTCACATACCCTCACCCCAGCTTGAGTGTTTTTTGTTTGTTTGTTTTGTTTTTCCTAAAGATGTGCTCAAGCTAGTCAGTGTTTTCCTTTCTGCTCCCTCCTCCTTTTGTAACTTCGTGCACTTAGGCACATATCAGCTAGTTAAACCACACTTCCCTCATAGCGAGCAGTACGCCTGTCCGCTGCTGCTGATTTTAGGGTGAGGTGTGCCCATAGGTTTCAAGCTTGGTGAGAAGCAAAGACAACAGTGCCTCAGGTCCTCATGACAAGGCTACCACAGGCGCGCACTAGCTTTATGTGCTGCGAGAAGCTGCAGCACTGCTGTCCTCACAAAACCAGTTCTGGCAATGAGCTGCGGCTGTTTTACCGGGAGATGCCCGGCGGGGCTCCGAGAAGTCCGTGCCTCAGCCCTGGCCGAGGCTGCGGTACCGCTGGGCGGAGCTCTGCCATAAGCACGGAGGGCTCTTTCCCTCGTTAAGTGCCACCCGGCTGAATAACGGGGTGCTTTAACGACACTGCCAACGCTCCGCATACATCTTTACGTATAACATATGTATTTTATATACACAGAAAACACTGTCACTGCGCCCTTCCCCTTAGGGAAAGCAGCGAGGCGGTCACGCCCAGCCCGCGCAGTCGTTGCTTAGCGACGCGGCGGGGGCCTCGCTGAGGCGGGAAGGGAGAGCCGCTCCACTTTCGACCCCGCAGCTGCCCGCTGCGCGCCTGCGGGAGCGCCGCCCCTCGGTGCCGGCACGGCCGGGAGCTGCGTCATTGGCGCGCGCCGCCGGGAGGGAAAGGACCGGCGGGAGGGGCCGGGGCAGGGGCAGCGGGGAAACGAAACCGGCGGGGGCGGCGCCGACGAGGGCGCTGCGGAGCCGCGGCCGGGCCTCTGGGTGCGTGCGGGGAGAGGGGCGCGGGGCGGCAGGGTCGGGTACGGGGAGAGCCGGGAGGGGAGGGAGAGGAAACTCTGGGCTGTGCCGTAGTGCAGCGGGTGCTGTTGGTGGGGGTGAGGAAAAGCGCGGGTATTGGGCTGCTGTGTGCGGCTGTGGGAATCAGCCTGATAGAGGGGGTGGTTAGAAGCAGCGCCCTGGGGCATCTCTGCTGCTGCGGCGTTCCTCTGTAGGTAATGGTTGCTCGTTTCTCGTGTGTTTGGATTAAACGGGTCTTTGATACGGTAGTAATGCTAATTGTCGTATATTTAATTTATGTGCTGGCGTCTGGGTTGTCCTCATTGACTAGCGTTTAAGTAGCTCATAGAAAGGATGTCAAGCTATGGTTGGTAGTAGTAAATGAGTTTCTGTATAGATTTTGTTTGTTTACTTAAACTAGCTGTTAGGTAGGTTCACAAAACCTGGTGTTTTACCTGAAGACAGCTCAGGTTGGGAAGTATAACACAGAATAATGCATGAAGCGGTCTGTGCTGCCATGCTACCAGCATGAGTTGTGTGCCTTACCCTTCAGCATCAAGAAGAATGTTAATTTGTGTGGTGTTAACTAAGTGTAATCTTCTTCTTTCAGAAAAAATGAAGAGAAGAACTGAGCCTGAATTTAGCAGTCCCCAAAAGAAGCAGAAGAAGAAGGCGGAAGACTTGGGTTTAACTCTCAGTTCTACTTCAGATGATGAAGCTCAGCTTAGTAACCATACTACTCAAGGTACAGTTGGAGGTTGTAAGTGTTGCTGTGGGGAATCTAACTAACAATTAGGAATTGCAGGGCCGTGAGGATGATCAGAGGGCTGGAGCACCTCTCCTGTGAAGAAAGGCTGAGGGAGGCGGGCTTGTTTAGCTTAGAGGAAAGAGGGCTCTGGGAAGACCTCATTGCAGCTTCCCCGTGCTTACAGGGAGCTTATAAAGGAGGGAGACTTCTTACGTGGACTGGTAGTGGTAGGACAAGAAAGAATGACTTTAAACTTTGAAAAGATTGTTGATATTTTTCACTCAAAGGATGGTGAGGTGCTGCCACAGGCTGCCCAGAGAAGTTTTGGATGCACTACGTCTGCAGGCGTTCAAGGCCTTAGAGCAGTCTGATCCTGGTGGTTGGCAACCCTGTCCACAGCAGGGGTTTGGAACTGGATGGCCTTTAAAGTCCCTTCCAACCCAAACTGTGGTTGGCATCTCCGGTTGATGGACGGAACTTCAAGACTGCACTTTGTCTTTAGTAGAAAAACTATGTCTTTTTTTTTTCTTTTTTTAATAATTAAAAAATTTTTTTGGTGGCAATTTTTTTTTTTTTTTTTTTTTTTTAAGCTTTTAAAAGTAAGACTCTCACAAACACTTTGGTCTGGGTATTTCATGATTGCAGACATAGGAAATAGACAAGTCCATGGCCAAAAGCTGTAAAATTCTGTTCATATGTAGGCAGCATTAGTCTCTTCAGTCTCAGGAGATATTTTTGTTGTGGAAGCTTTCAGTAGTGAGGAGTTGTGTGTTGTGCAGTAACAATAATAATAATGGTAATGTCTAATATCTTGTGTTGCTTTTTTTTTTTAAACAAACACGAGACGTTAGATATTATCATGTTCTCCTGCATTACAGTGCTATCTCTTTTATTGGATCCGTGTGAATGTTGTTTTTTTTCTTTTTTTGTAAGTAGTAAAAGTTCATGTTTATTTCGTTTCAGAAAGAATAACTGTTTCAGAGTTACCTAAACAAATTGCCTAGTGTTTTGTTTCCTTCTTTCCCTCTTCCCCAAGCTGGAGAGTGCTTTCTTCTAGTATACCAGAGATGAGGAGAGCAATTGCCCTACGCAATTGCTGTCCCTATTATGAGGTGCTTTAATCTCTTCCAGGATGATACTTCATGTTACTTCACACTCGTGGTACTTCTCAGTCTTGGTATTTCCTATGGTAGTCAAGTGTTAGTAAGGAAAGGGTGTCAACATAAAAAGAAGTGAAAGTAGAGGGGGAAGAATGCATGAAAGGTGAATGACTGGTTTGAGAGTAGTGGCAGTAATTGGGTATGGTGTGTGTACATGTCCTTGCAAATGTTAAAAGCAGGAAGAGTTGCAAAGAAACTTTTTTAAGATTATGTAGTCCGAATTGTCTTTGAGAACCCATTGTGAACCCTGGAAAATAAAACACAGCTCAAAAGCACGTAGCAAAGATTGTTGAAGCTGAGGACTGGAGAAGCAGAAAGCAATAACTGGCCCTAAGTAAAATGTTTTTGATCCTGTTAATCTCTGAGACCTTTGTGAAGGAGAAATTGTGTGACAGGTGCTTGAAAAGTAAGATGGGAATATACCACTGCAAACATGCTACGTCGCAGCCTTCTTTGTTTTGAGCTGAAAGTCTCAAATATTAATGCTATAAGCTCCAGCATGATAGCTGTCTTAAAGGCTGATAATTCAACAGCAGAGATTGTACACATTGAAACAATTACAACTACAGCCACATATTTCACTGTTGAGTCTTTCACTTTCTTGACTAATGACCTTTAGTATTTACCTTGGTAATGACAATTCTTTACTAATTCTGCAGTTGTTTCTTGCTATTTCACTGGTGTTCAGTTATCCATAACAGGGAAATAGAGTTTTTTTTTTTTAATTAGAAAAAAATTAAGAAAAATTCAATCTCTTCTAGGTTGTCATTTTTTTTTTTTTAATACCTGTGTGCAGCTATCTAATTCCTTCTTAAGTGATAAACAAGGAGAGATAATCTCTGCTGACAACAATTATCTTGAGGTAGCTTTTATGGTTCAACACCTAGTTGTGCAAAGAAGCATGGAATGAATTCTAGTAGTCAGTGAACAAGGGATGCTCAAGAGGCAGAGGTCTAATGAAGAGTGTGGCTATGCTCGTTGTGGATTGCTGCTTCAGTAATCTTTATGGCCTGCCCCACAGTACAGACTTTAGTAGGACTGCTGTGGTGCTAGATAAATTTCTGGAAGGAAATTTGTGCCATTGCTTCATCCTCATTGCGATCACAGCACAGGAAAAGGGAAAGTACTCAGTGGGTTGCAGGGCCTCCCTCCCTACTCACCTGGTGCATCCTATCGTGTAGTTCTTGATGGCATTACTGAGATGCCTTGGTGGTGGTTTTTTGGTTTTGTTTTGTGTGCACTCACTTCTTTCATTTTTCTTGTTTTCAGAGTCTTCCAGTAGCAGCAGTGGGTCTGAGAGTGAGAGTGATGAAAAAAGACTTGTCTTCAACAATGAGTTCAAACAAGACTCTCTGGTGGAGGGTACTTCGTCCCGCTACTCAATGTATAACAGTGTCTCCCAAAAGCTCATGGTAGGTCCAAACAGTTTTGAACCAAAGTATTAATATCTCATGAGTGCAAACTGAAAAGACCAATCTTTTCTGAGATTCTGATTCTGGTCCTCCTTGTAGCAGGGTTCTCTGCTTCTTTAATCCATCTAGTAAGCAGTTCAGGGAGGTAGAGACAGCTTTGTTAGGGGAATTTGTTTCAAAAAAAAAAAAAGAAAAGGAAAAGTTGATTCATGTTCCAGGTACTCGAACAGGGCAATGAGTGTGAAGAAAGAGATCTTTGAATAAGGCAGTTTGCTGAGCTGGAAAAGAGTCCTATCTTGTGTTATTCTGCAATTATTTTTAAGTTAACAAACATCTGTCGCAAAGACCTTAAGAAATTCTCGTGTTGATATTAATTCATTTTGGTCTCGGAAGCTGGCAGGCGTACCCTTGTAGAATTATTACCTAACTGGTAAGGTGTTTATTTCAAGCCCCAGTTTATATAGGGCCAGAAGTTTCTTGGAAATGCATGGAGTTGTGCACAATAGTAACTGTAACAGCCAAACTTCAGGGGTGATCACCAGCTCCCTAATTACAGAGTGATAGTGCAGGGGAGAGAATTTTTCAGAAAGTTCTAAGGAAATCACAGACTGTTTCTCATGTCAGTCTCACATTTGACAACTTTTTTTTTTACTACAGTGGCAATGGTAAGCCCTAGAGAAGTGAAGCTTCTCTGTGTCTTTGCTGTTACGTGTTTCCTTGTGCAAACTCCAACACTGCCATTGGGAATACCCCATTACCCTGGGCAACGGGATGGTGAGACACAGTTGTGTATTACTCTAAATGTGAGAGGAAGTCCAGGACACAAAGGAGGACTGAATTGGGGTCTCTGTTTTGTGCTGCTTTGTCAGGAGCAGCAGTCAGCTCCACAATGGTATGCCAGCATGTACTGCCCTTTGCCAAGTGAGAAGATCAGTCTGCTGCTAGAAATTGGGAAGTGTTAGTTCTTAATAGAAGTGGGAACAGGGAGGTGCTGCCTTTCCAGGAAACAAATTGCTGCTAGCAGCTGTGTCATATATCTGTATGAAGCAGGAAATTTCAAATCTTGCTGAATTCAAAACTCAGTGGGATCCAGGGGCCGAGGGCTGCTGATGTGCTGCTCTGTGAATAAATCCTATTGCTGGTCATTGATCATTCAGAATCTGTCCATTTGTGTTTTTGTAGCTGGGCTGCAGTTTGCTGATTCTAACATAGACTGTCTTTCTCTGAATTCAGAAGGCTTTCCTTTTTAAGGTTTCCTAAACTTGAATACAAAGATTGAATGTCTGGTTAGATGAGTTGGTAGGTAAAAGGAAAATCGTTCTTTACTCTGTTCAAAATTCTGTCTTCAGAATTGCATTCCTTCTCTGACTATTAGGTGCATTTTAACTGATTCTTGTAATTTATGTGGCAACGTGTTCACAACAAGTAATACCACAATATGAATTTGTTCTTGTGCCAGCATCTTGGTTTATAAACCCACTGAACACAGTGGTGAATGTCTCTGTCTGTCGGAGCACGCTGTTCCTTCCCTCATTTTATTTCCAAATGTCATTCTTTACATCTTGCTTTTTCTGTTGTTTGTTTTTGGTGGCCGTGGCTCCGAGCCACTCCAGTATGTGGCTCTTTTTTTGGGCTAGTCTTTCATCCCACATGCAGTAGGTAGTCTTAAATCTACTCGCCTCATTGTGCTCCCTTTTCTATCTTTGTAGGCCAAGATGGGCTTCCGGGAAGGAGAAGGTTTGGGAAAATATGGCCAAGGTAGGAAGGATATTGTTGAAGCCTCCAATCAGAAGGGAAGGAGAGGCTTTGGGCTTACCCTCAAAGGGTTTGATGGGGAGCTGAATATTGATTGGCAGGATGAGCCAGAGGTAAGTATTTACTGTTTTGAGTACCTTTCTATTGCTGTGTTCAGGATTTGCCCGCTGGGAATGTTTTTCTAGTGCTGACATACTACTTCTGTCAAGTGGCTCAGCTGAATAGAACCACACTCTATTTGTTCAGGTATAGTGTGTTTTATGGCACCAAGTCAGTTTCAGATGGATTGTTGCTGTGATCTGTATGATTTGTTCCTGATTTGTAGCAGTGAACATGATGGAAAACTCACCAAGCTGTTTTGTTTTATTTTGTATGTCATCATTTTTCATACTCAAATAGGTGATGTTTTTTAAGTATCTTATTCTGTTTCTGTATAACAATCCTCCAAAAAAAAAATGCTGAGATGTCCTATTCCTGTATCTTGGCGAGCTCCTCAACAGGGAAGAAAATTGAAATAGGTGCTGTCTGGATAGCAGAGCCTCATTCTGCTGCTATTCAATGTGACATAGTTGCTATATGTTTGTATTCAAAGAAAAAACAAGCCAAAAAAATAAGAGCACAGCGCAGAATCCTAGGGCTCTGGTCAGCTGGAGGGCAAGCCAAAAGGCCCCAGCTGTTGTGAGTCAAGGGCAGCAGTGCTGTCAAGTTATTTATGCTGCACTTGATTGTACTTTCTTTGAGTTGTTTTTCAGTAATTAGTAATAATATTAGAGATTGATCCTTTAGAATAAGAAATGAGAAATGTGTTCTGTAGGCTCGTTGCTTTGAGGATCATTCTTCACCACGCTTCTGCATCCTACAACAATTAGATGTTATTTATCATTTGCCCTTGTGGGTGATGATGTTGTAATTAACATAAGAAGGTAAGCAGATGTTAACGGCCTGCTCTTCTGCATTGCTATGAACTCTGCTGCCAAAACAATTCCTTCCCTAGGTTATTCAAAATATTTAAGCCTTGAATTGAAGTGATGGAACTGGGGGAGACTTTGAGAAAGAATTGGAAAAACGGATGTGTGAAGGACTGTGAGAATATTATGTCAAATGTCTCTGCAGTGTCTCTAAGATGTACCTTGAGAGTGCTAGGCTATAGCTTTATTGATAAATATCAGATGAGAGGAAAATGGTGTGTGGTCATTTTTTAGTTTCTTTTGTTTTGCATTTATCCAAAGAAATGAAGCATGTTTTAGGCAAGAGAGAAAAAAACCTAGAAAGTTGATCCACAAGTCATGGCTTCACCCCTTATGGTAGGATTGGGGGGCAATTGGTTGTTACGTTGTGCTAGCAAAAAATTTCCTTGACTCTTCCTATGTCTTGTGTTTGCAGCCTAGTGCCTATGAGGAGGTGGATTGGTGCCTCGAGTGTACCACAGAAATCCCTGATGCCCAGGAGCTGAAGGAGTGGATGACTGTGGGCAAGGTAGTTTTTTTAGATTCTAGTACTCAGGTTAAGAAGACACAGGAATGAATACTCTGCCTGAGCCAATGCCTTGTCAAAGAGTCCTCAGATAATCTGGGGTGGAGGGAAACTGGAAGCTGCTACTGTAACTTCCTACTTGAAGCAGATCCTGGTAGATCGGGTTGCTTAGAGCCTGTTTGGTTGAGTTCTGAATATCTCCAAGAATGGAAGTCTTACAGCCTGCTTGGGCATCTACCACACAATTGGGTCTGATAACCCAATTGGCAAAGTTATTCATTAATCAGCATTTTTTGTGTTGAAGCCTGCCTCCATTGTTTCTCATCCTAGCACTGTGCATCTCTGGGAAGAGCCTAGGTCAGTTTTCTCTTTCCTAACTTCAGGTAGTTGTCGACAGGAATAGAATCTCCCTTTTTTATCTATCCTGAACAAACTGTTCCCTCAGTCTCTTACACACTAGATACTACTGCACCCTTGTCATCTTGATGGCCATTTGCTGGGCTTACTACAGTATGTCAGTGTCTGTCTTGTACTGAGGAGTGCTAGACTGGATGCAATATTTCAAGTGTGGTTGTGAGATGCCAAATAGGAGAGAATAGTGCCTCGGCCTGCTGGTTATGCTCTTGCTAATAATACCTACTATGTGGTTGACCGGCTTCATCCATCACACGTTCATGTTGCATTCTGAAATGACTCGTAGCATATTTGTTAATTGTTACGTGTTCTCATCCTGCTCCAGAGGAAGATGGTGATTGAAGATGAAACGGAGTTCTGCAATGAAGAGCTTTTACTTAATGTCCTGCGGTGCAAGGTGAGTCCCCTTTCTTGGAGAGGAATTGAAGTTTTGTGAAATAAATAACTGAATTTACTTAAGTGATCAGCAAGAGCTCTATACATCCTCTCTCACATCTGTGCCACTGGCGTGACCTGGAGTTTTGGCTGCCACTGTCTATTCAGATGCATCTTTTACACCTCAGCCTTCAAAGAGATGAATGAAAACACTGGTGTCCATTTCTTAGTCAGTTCAGCTGAAAGACTGTAGGCTTGAATGAGCTAAGAAACTAAACTTCCTTTCTTTTCTCACGTGTTCCATTTTTCCTTTTAGATTTGATTATGCCCTTATGAATTCCAAAGTGTGTGTATGTATGTGTGAGAGAAATACCTTCACTTGTGACTACTTTTAAGATGGCTACCATATTGCCAGTCTCGGGAGCTGTCTGTACAAAGCTCTTCAGTGTCATTAAATTTGAGTAAGAATTGGGTAAGGTGTCCCTGTTCATTGTAAGGGGAGTTGGACTGGATGGCCCTCAGAGGTCCCTTACAACTCTAAGGATTTGATGATTCTGTATCAATACGTGGCAGGAAAACATTCTATATTGGTGAATCGGTAGCACAGAATGCTGAGCATCCTATTTACCCTCATGCTTCTCTCTCCTTATGTTTAATATCTGTCCTCTAAGCCTTTGCCAAATTCAGGTTATTTTGGTTTCTGTTTGCACAGAGTGTATTTGATGAGCTGGATGGAGAAGAAATGCGCAGAGCCCGAACGAGATCTAACCCCTATGAGATGATCCGTGGAGTCTTTTTTCTGAACAGGTCTGTAGCACTTGTGGTTACGTAGGTCTTCTTCCCATTATGTCCACTTTTAGTTGTGGGAGCCAAAGTTGAAACTCACAGGTCCCTATTTATGTGTTCACAGAGCTGCGATGAAGATGGCAAATATGGACCATGTCTTTGACTACATGTTTACAAATCCTAAGGACTTCCAGGGGGTGAGGACCTCTTTTCAATTTTCAAAGCAGTGCTTTCTTAGAGTGGAGAAACTGGGGAGAAAGGAGAATCCTTAGAGCACTAGCTGGAAAAACAAGTTTTTGAAAGACATTTTCTGGCTGAGCAGTGCAGCTGATAGGTTTGACTGATGGAAGCTGTTACTGGGCGAGTAGAATTTCTTCAGTTTCCTTTTGTAGAGGCCCTTGATAAAGGAGCGAGATGCAGAGCTGCTCTACTTTGCTGATGTGTGTGCTGGGCCTGGGGGCTTCTCTGAGTACGTCTTGTGGAGGAGGAAGTGGCATGCAAAAGGATTTGGCATGACCTTGAAAGGACCAAACGATTTTAAACTTGAGGACTTCTATTCTGCTTCCAGTGAGCTCTTTGAGCCTTACTATGGTACGTAATGCATGCGTAAGTGTTGTCTGATGTTTTTGCTCGTGCTCTGGCTTCTGCATCAGGAGTATTGATATCAGCCTGGGGATTTGAGAGAAGCTTGTTTCTAGAGAATCATTTTGCAAGGTAGGAAGGGGCTGTCCTTTGAGAAGGGAGTTGAGATTGGTGAACTTGCCCATCAAGTCATGTTTCTGTGCTTCTTTCCATTCTGCCAAGAAAACGTGTCCTGATGTAGTAGTTTGTACTTGAGCACATCTGAAAGCTGCAGAGGACATGCTTGTTTGACAATAATTTTTCTCACTTATGCAGTTCTGAAATGTGAAGAATGAGATGACTTGCCCAAAGACTACTAGCAAAGCCAGAGGTAGAAGCCTTACTTGCCTGACTGGCAGTATGCTTCTATCAGACCTCTGTAAATCTACTTTGATAATTTATTGTGGACACGCAGTAATGTTAAATAAAGCAAATTAAAGCTAGAAGCTGTATCTGAATCACTGTGACTAGATGACCTGTGTAATCTAAAGTGGTTTAAGATGTTACTGTGTCTTTGAGATAGACTGTGCGTACACAGACAATTACTGCATCTTACCTTGTGTGTGGTAGCCTGTTACACTGTATGATACATGTGTGCCCCCTTTCTGCACAGCCTCTTGGAGTAGGAAGGGAAATACAAGGATCTGATAGTCTTGCTGCTTATTTCAGACTATGTGAAGGAAACTCAAATGTGTTTGTTCTACAGAGAAAAGGGTAAAAGCCAATTTGCCACTCGTGACTTCTAAGCATGAACTCTTAGAGTATAATTAGTGCTTCAAGATTAGATCAGTAAAAGGAAAGGTTCATGGTAAGGGTAGCAAGGCAGCAAAATGCATTGTTCTAGTGGCTGCACTGTTTGGATCTTCATAACTCACTGCAGACTGGTGCTTTTATGAGGGAAGGAAGATACATGGAGAGATGAGTAGCCCCATGACTTTGATGCATTTTCTTGATTCCTTTTCTGTCTGCTATGCTGCAAAGTCTAGTGAGGTGTGTACAAACTCTCTTCTGAGTGATGGGAAGAAAGTAGGCTGCCGTGATATTTGTGTTGTAAAGAATGGTAACAAATTCTAGTGTCACTTTGCTTAGTGACAGCATGATTGATGAGGAATTTAGTCATCAACGCACAATCGTGCATCCTGATCTTTCTTTCTGGTCTCACAGTTCTTCTTATAGTTAATAGAAACTATAGCTGTAGAAGATTTTAGAAACTAATACCAACTAGAAGTTCAGGCTTCTTCAAAGTGAAAATTGGTAACCTCTAGAATATGCCTTAGCTTAGCTTTCTACAATGCCAGGCTAGGGGACAGCGTATCCTTTGCATTCATATAAACTTTGCATTCATATAAATATAATATATATAAGCTATATTTCTATTTTCCTGCTTCCTTTACAAACTTGTTTATATATGAATGTTTTTTTTTGAGGCTGCTTTTTAAAATTCTAGGTTAGGTTGTGTTTGGACGTAGATAATTACGTTTCTTTGGATTGATGCTAATTCTTAGTTGAAGGTTACCAGTGCACCATGTGAATAATTTTGCCTTGCTTGTAAAAAAAAAACAACAAACAAACCAACATGTTAGTACCAGGTGAGCTGTTCAGTGAGCTGTTCAGTGAGCTGTTCAGTCTCCTATATTTTTTGTAGATTCAGATATTTGCCATTTCTCCTTGGTTGAGGATTTTATGTTGCAATGCAGTTCTTTACCCAGAGGAGGGCAGTGAGGGATTTGTCATTTGCTGCAGCTAACATACAAGCTGTCCTTTGAGCTTGGTTATTAGGCTTTGTTTAGCCTTGACCACAACATTTGAATAATTTTCCTAGTCTAACGAGCATCTTTAGTGGTGAACCAGGGAATGCATGTATTTGTGCTTACTCACCTATCAAGGTCTTTGTAGCTTCTGACTAAGTACTGATTGAATACAACAGATCACCTCTTCTAGTCTGCTTTGCAAACATGTTAGTAATTGCCTCCTCTTTCCCCACAGGAGAAGGAGGGATTGATGGGGATGGAGATATCACTCGCCCTGAGAACATTACTGCTTTCCGGAACTTTGTTTTGGACAATACTGATCACAAAGGAGTGCATTTCTTAATGGCTGATGGGGTTGGTCCCTTCCCTTTTCTTTCTGCACTCATGACCAAAACTAGTACTTCAGACTGTGTGCGTTAAGATACTTGACATGTGTTTGTATTATCAGTGTGGTATTAAGGCTTGCCATTAAAATTCCTGGTGGCAGTGTTCTGTGTTGTAAAGAAATTATTGTGATTTTACGAGTCAGCTGTACAGAATTGTTTGCTTGAGCGAAAGAAATGCTCATTATATGCTGTATTCTTTGTAGGGCTTCTCTGTGGAGGGTCAGGAGAACTTGCAAGAAATCCTAAGCAAACAGCTAATGCTTTGTCAGTTTCTTATGGCACTGTCCATTGTCCGGACAGGTATGTTTTATCCATCAATCTTATTCCTCCTTCTTTAAGGTGTGGGTGGTATTGCAAAAGGGTGCTGTAGACTTTTATTAACATACCATAACATCTGCTGTGCTGTGAGGCTACGTTGCACAGGATTGAATGTATATGCATTCATTCTGAGGTAGTTGTCACAAAGCTAAATGAACTAGGGCAGAAAAATAAGGCTGTCCATTTTGCTTTTTCTTTACAAGCAGAAGGTAAAAGCTCTGAACTAATGCATTTTAACAATAGTTTATGTAGCTGTCTTGGGCTAAGGTCACTAGTGTAATTGCTGGACAGTATATTTGAGTTTTATGCTATCAGCTGGGCCACCAGCTTTATGAATATTCTGGCAGGCTGGTTGGAGCAGGGCAGTAGCAATTCAGTTCATTTTCTCTTTAGTTTGTGGCTTTTCTCCTTTAAATCTGCCATCTCTGTGATCAACACCAGCTGATGCCTCATGTTGTCTTAAGGTATACTCCATCGTTGCCAGGTGATGGATTTTATGGTTGTATCTGGTTTTGATGATTCCTCTTTTCTGCAGAGTTTAGTTAGCATTTGGCACTGACATATGCAGGAGCAGAAGATAAAAAATAATTATCATGTTATCATTTGTCCTGTGCCTTGTGTTCAGATATACCTGAGCCAAGGATCTGCTTAGTAGTATCTGCTTGAGCATAATATGGTGAAAGGAGCAACCTTTTTGAAGTCTTTATTCTCTGTGTAGATACAACTTTGTAAGATTGACTGCTTTTTGCTTAGGGTAGTGGGGAAACTTTTTTGAGGGCTAAGGGTGGCACAAACGTTTTTCTTTCTATTCTATTTTGGTGGTATCTGTTAGTTTCTTCCTCCAGTGTGAAGCTTCTTGGTCCGCATGTCAGAGCTCTTTGTCTGCAAAGGCTTTTATATAGCATGCTGCAATACCATAGGGTACAGTTTGGGCCTGGGAAAGGGTGGTGTAGAATGGGTGGAAAGTTTGTTCTCGAGGCAGAATGCATGTTGATTTGAGCATGGTCAGAGAACTGCTTGTCCCTTTGTTGAAGAGATATGAGACGGATGGTTCATGGAGCCCCTCTAACCTGCTTCATGAAAGTGTTTTAGTTGCTGTTCTATTGTACAAAACCACCTATCTTTTTTTTCCTGTGGAGGATAAGGTTATGGAGATGCCTGATATGTCGTTGTATCTTTATAGCCTGCTGATGTTGGTGTGTTTCTTCTCTCTGCTCCAGGAGGACATTTTGTCTGCAAAACCTTTGATCTGTTTACTCCATTCAGCGTGGGGCTTGTTTATCTGCTCTATTGCTGCTTTGAGCGTGTGTGCATCTTTAAACCTGTGACAAGCCGCCCTGCTAACTCAGAGAGGTGAGATTGTTGAGCATGAGGGACTGCTAAACAAGGTTTGATCTCTAATTACAGTGACAGATGGTTTTGGTTAAATGGAAACTCTGTGACTTCACCCAGTTGTCAACTGTCTTGTAGGAGGAAATATTTTAGATGGCTAGCAAATTCTGATTTCTGACAAGGTAAAGAAAGTATTCGCCAAAGTCTGCTTGCTTTTCCCTGCTTGTACTGAGATTCATCTGTAGAGAAAACAGCGGAACTAAGTATGTAATAAAGTCTGTTCTGCATGAAGCAATTAGGCTTCCATCGAAGCCAGAAATTATTATGTGTATTTTCACACCTGTCAAGTTTAGCACAATTAGTTTACTATTTTAGGGAGTTCTGTGATGTTTTCTTAGTAAGGTTGAATTTCTCTATCTTTTCAGAGAGTAGAAAGTGATACGTAATGATGTGATTGGTTAGACTTCACCTTCTTGGGGATACTTGGGTGGGCAGAATTCCTGGGATTTGGAATACTGTCTTCACAGTTACAGCATGGCAGGAAAATTGACTGTGTCAAAAAAAACCTGAACCTAAATTGTCTCTGGCATTCTGTGCAGGTACGTGGTATGCAAAGGATTAAAGCTGGGGACTGATGACGTGCGAGAATATCTCTTCATGGTGAACATCAGACTCAACCAGTTGCGCAACTCCGATGTGGATGTGAATCTAGTCGTGCCATTGAATGTGATCAAAGATGACCAGGATTTCTACGATTATATTGTCCAGTCCAATGAAAAGTGAGTGCCTGTGAGCAGCGAGGGCTGCTTGCTGTAGGCAGATCAGCCAAAATGGCTGGCCTTCAGTTGCAGCTGCTTGCACTCATGGAGGTGCTTGTTGATGCTGCTGACGCTGCTCTGCTTTTGCTGCCCGAGGGACTTAGCAGAGCAAAGGGATGCTGCACAGAAAAATACTTTATGCTGTCAGTGAATGTTTGGTCTCTGAATGCTGTCCTCCTATATAGAGCAGAAAGGGGACTACTGCCTGCTTTTTTTTTCCAGTGGCCACCATATCATTTGGATTTATGTTGATGATGATCAGTCACTCCTTTGAGGGTCAGGCTGGTTTCCTTCAGTTGTTCCATCGATCTTCCACGTAGAATAATGCTGATGGCAGTAATCAGCTTGTTGTCTTACTGAAACTTTCCTCTCTTTCAGCCACTGCAAAATTCAGATAAAGGCACTAGCTAAAATTCGTGCTTTTGTTCAAGATACGTGAGTATATTCCTCTGGCTTTTGGTGGATATTGAATTAACCTACCGTAAACAAATTGTTTTGCCCTTCTTCAATGTGTTTTTAATTTGAGCTGGTACACTGCTTGGCCTTTAGAGCCAGGAAAATTAATAATGCTTTTAGGTAGCTCTGTTTGTGTCTCTGCCTGAGCTCCTTGAGAAGAAGTGTGGGTAGCTGGAGTCCTGAAAGTTGATTTGTTATCATCCTTGCTGAGATGGCTTCCATGTATTGCATGTTTTCTGAGTGCCTTAAATGGGCCTGCTTCTTAGAAGGACTGTGAGCTTAAAATGTGAGCAACACCATCCTGGCTGGTATGTTCAGTTCTGCACCTAACATTGTTGTGGTCCATAGCTCTTAATTTTTCAAGGATGATTCAGTATACTTAAGTGGCATACCTAGAACTACCTACAGCACGTGACAAAAATGTCTTTCATATAAAACTGAAGCTATTGCAATGTATAACTGTTTCCCTGTCGTGGCTTTTAAGTTTGGGTGTCGTTCAGAGAAAATACATAATAGAAAGCCTGAAAGCCAGATATTGTCATAAGAGTTAATCCTAACATTAGCACTGTTTTTTGTCTTCATTGCTCTTTGTAAGTAGGGCTAGTAGGTTCCAGCTCTCGGAGATACTCATAAATTCATACTAACACTTCAAAGTGTTGATGCCTAATGATGCTTTCAGATAGAGGCTGAGTATCAGCGATATATAGTGAAGCAAAACTAAACAAGGGTGTTGGGAATGTGTGGAGAGGGAAGCAAGATCCTCAATTTGAGAATAACCTTGTGAGGAGCACTGCTTGTTTGTCATTCCCAAGCCAGACACTGAAAAATGCAAGTTTGATAGGGTTGGGATATGCTAATGCTGCAAGAACAAGGAAAGAGACTTTGCTGTTTTAATAGTCTGCTGCTTTTCTCTTGAGGACACTGATGGAGCCACGACAGGCTGAAATCCGAAAGGAGTGTCTCCAACTATGGGGGGTAAGTAAGCTGCAAAGCAGAGAGATAATGAAGGCTTCCTTGCTGTGATGAAATAAGAATGGAGCTGCTGTGCAGATGAAACTTTCTAGCCAGAGGTTTAATACGTTGTCCTTCAGGAAAGTCAAAGATTATTTGAAGCTATTCACGTAAACAAAGAGGATGGTGCTTGTGAATTCAGTGTATGACTTAACTGAGTGGGCTTCTAATTGCTTTGCTTTGCTGCAATTGAGAAGATTTTATATAATACTGAATGAACTTAGCACTTAGTGGTTTCCAGGTGGTAGAGCTATCTGAAGAGTCTCTTTCCTGAGCCTTTGACTGAGTCATATCATACATACGGTAGTGTTTCACTGAAATGTGGATGGAATTAAAGATTTAGCCTGAAACTTTTGGAAGCTGCCCGTTGTTTCTTATGAAATGTGGCATGCCTGCATTAAATTTGAGAAAAATGTGAGACTTTGGTTTGCTAGGTAACTTCTCCAGTAACTGGAGTCCCAAGACCAGTAGTTTTAGGGGGCAGGATGGTCTGTCACACATTGAAACCAGAACGGTTTGTGTGAACGTGCAAATGAATAACCTTTACTATCAATTGTTTGAACTTTTTTTTTTTTCAGATTCCTGATCAGGCTCGTGTTGCTCCCTCATCTTCAGATCCCAAGTCCAAGTTTTTTGAACTTATTCAGGTGGGACCTTACCTGGAAGTTTCTTCTGAATTCTGTCATGCAAATAGATCCTTTTCCAGCAGTAATTAAACGATGAAGAACTTAGTCCTGGATTATCTGGATTATTGTTTTGTGCAAAAATTGCACTCACCTACTTGTTAATGTATTTTGTCTAATTATATGTTGCTCTTTAGGGCACAGACATTGATACCTTCAGTTACAAACCCACTCCTCTGAATTCCAGTACGCTGGAGAAAATCCGCCAAGTGTTCGATTACCGGTGTATGGTGTCTGGAAGTGAGCAGAAGTTCCTCCTGGGGCTGGGGGTAAGGCCTGAGAACAGTCAGACTTTACGTGTAGGAGTTCTGCTGGTTCATTTTAATGGTACTGTTTTGCCTTGCAGATTCATCCCATTCTTTCCTGACCTCAAAGATCAGGAAGAATCCTCACTGACAGCACTGAACAGTGCTAGTTATTGTATGGGTTTTTTTCCTCCTGACTTCAGTGCTGTTCACAGTAATTAACCCCGTTTTTGTAATTCCAGCCTACACAGAGACCTGTACTCTTGCTAGTGTCTCTAATTATCTTCGCTGTCCTTTTAAAGATGTTCTATTTTTCGTTCATTGTGTAGATATGAAAAGACACTGACAGATTAGAATCAATGTTTTTGTTCATTTGCTGTAGAGATTGGTTCTTCCTTAAAATTTTCCACAAAGAAATTGCTTGTGACAGCCTAGGATGAAAAGATTCTCTGAGGGGTGCTCTGGAGTTAGTCAGAGGTCTCTCTCCCACACATCCCTTCATGAAGCCTTGGGTAAATCTGACTGCCTTCTGTACACAGAAATCACAGATCTACACCTGGGATGGTCGCCAGTCAGACCGCTGGACGAAACTGGATTTGAAAACTGAGCTGCCACGAGATACCCTTCTCTCTGTGGAGATTGTCCATGAGCTGAAAGGAGAGGTAGGAAGCTATTCTCTCTTACAGCGTGACTACAAATAGAATGTGCAATTTCACTTATTCTCTTCAAGACACTGCAGAATAAATGTTCCATGTGTGACAGGTCAGAGTCTTTTGCATTTGTTATTTAGAGAAATGATTTTGGATTAAGTTCCTTCTGACCAGTGTCAGAGAGATGAGCTTTTAACACTGTTTTGAAATTCCTTTGTACCTGACATGCTGTTGGCCTACATGCAGCAGATGACAATGTTGCCACTAAGTCTTAAAGAGATCTTTGTCTGTTTGGGTACATAACTGCACAGTAGAGAGAGCAGGCCTTGGAAGAACATCCTTGAGGTATATTCACAATGCAAACTGTTGCTACCTGGGAGTTTATGTCTCTTCTGGCATTTCAAGTGAAGATGCTGGTACACTGGGCTTTATGCTGTGCTCCCTGATGAGGCAGTATTGTGCCAGAGAGCTAAGGATGATAGCTGTGGTCCTGCTCTCTCTGTCTTTCCCTCCATTGAGACAATTGTGTAGTTGACACACACTGGTTCTTGGAGGATGGCAAGTTAATGTACAGTGGGCTGCAGGGAATTTGGTTGCTTCTAGTATCTGGGAAGTTGCTCTCTTGCTAGAAAATAATGATTTTTGCCAGTATTGGCAAAAAAAAAAAAACCCAAAAAACAACAAATGGGCTATAAACCAAAACTGAAATAGCAACAGACTACAATCTGAGTGGTAAGTCTATTCCTTTCTGCAGGGGAAAGCTCAACGAAAAATCAGTGCTATCCACATACTTGATGTCTTGGTACTCAATGGCAATGATGTCCGAAACCAGCATTTCAACCAGAGGTATGTAATCTCTGGAGAAGCTTCTTTCTCCTACACGAGTAGGAGTGACTGAGAAACATTGTTCATACTAATGGAAGAGAACTGAGCACAGGTAGGTGAGAGCATTTGGTTGAATCACTTCTGTAAAGATGCACTGTGAACGAACCATCTCAGAAGTGAAGTAGGTAGAGCTTTTTTTTGTGTGTGTGTATACTGTCCCTATGTATTGAGATCAGGTCTAGTTCCTTTCTTAGTCTGGGGTGATGCACAATATGGATAAACAGAACATCTTGGGAGCATGTATAACACAGCTGATAGGTGGCTTAGAGAGAAGGAAAGAACTCCCCTGTTTCCTTCATTAGCATTATGATGTCTCCAGTTATCTTATTTTCCTGCTTGTGTGTCAATGAGTTCAACAGCACATGGGCTTGTAGAGGAGGCAATGAAGACCCATTCCTAATGAATAGCAGCCAGTATCACTGGGCACTGAACTGAGAGAGTGAGGTGAAAAGAAACCCCTGTTGCTCAGTACCTATTTGGCTTAGGGGTGGGGATGTTGTGCAAGTATTGAAGTGTCTAATCAAACTGTTATCTTCTGTATGTGCCAAAGATGTAGCTGGATTGTAGGATTCTCTTTCTGTTTTTGGTCAGGATTCAGCTGGCAGAGAAGTTTGTCAAAGCGGTTTCCAAACCTAGCCGACCAGATATGAATCCGATCCGGTGAGTGCTTCTCTTTTTCAGCCTTGCACGTTTTGGTTTCACTGTGGTGGAGGGTGAAGATCAGGAGCTGAAGGAGTTAAATTTCAAACTGAAATGCATAGTTCTGTTACATCCACTGGAAAAAGGCTGGAAGATCTTTAAATATCTGAAACAAAGTTGATAGTGGGGAAGTTGTACCTTCCTTTCACTTAGCAGGTGTTTGTGCTTTCATCATAGATGGGCTGGTTGGTGCAGATCTCAGGTGTGTGTTGCAGTAGATCTAGCGCTCAGTTAGTGTTATCCTTGCAAAGTCTTCTACATCCTTGTCTGCTCATAGTGTAAGAGAGGCTGTGAATGTACCGATGTCACATTTTCTCAAGCCAGTAAAAATAAGGCATTAGGCTGAGGAGAAATGTTGACCTTAGTCATGCTTGACCACCTTGTGCTACACAAAATGAACTGCTCAGCTGCTCCCTATGGCTAAGACAGGAAAAGATGACTTAAAAAAAAAAAATAATAATAATAAAATGTATATTTTTACAACACATTTCTGTCTTGCTTCTGCTTTCCCCCCAGAGTGAAGGAAGTGTACAGACTGGAGGAGATGGAGAAGATTTTTGTGAGGTAAGTGACCAGCAAAAATGAAGCACTTCAGGGCCTATGGACATCATAGATGAGAGGTGTGCTTGAGGAGTCCTGGAGAAAGAGCTTGTACAGCTCTTGTAGCTAAATACCTACTGTTTTTGGTTCAGACAATCTTCCTGCTCAGTTGTAATACCATAGACGTAGCCAATGTGTTTTGCAGTAGTAGAAGTAGCAACTGCACTTCAGTACTTGTGCAGAAATGGCTTGAAAGTTTGAGTTCAAACCTGAAATGGGAATCCTATTTGGATTAAGTGTGGTAGATTATCACAAATCCCACGTTGCAGCGCTAGATTTGCTACCTGCCATATCCATGCAGCTCAGGCTGTTTTCCCTAGACGCATAGGGGAGGCAGGAGACTGAATGCTCCAGGGATGTGATGATTGATCCTGGTGTATTTTCACTGTGGAAAGAGTGTGCAGATGGCATGTTGTGTGCAAGATGATTGTAAAGGAAGAAACAGGAGGTGCTGCGTTTGGCATCACTCTGTTATTGTCTTCTCTCAACATTCAGGTTAGAGATGAAAGTCATCAAGGGTTCGGGGGGAATACCCCGGCTGTCCTACACAGGCAGAGATGACCGGCACTTCGTACCCACGGGACTCTACATTGTACGGACTGTGAATGGTAGGAAGAGAGAGTCTCTTGTTCTTATCTTGCTTTTTTCTGTATCTTCGACTAAAAAAAATAATTGAAGAAGGTTACTCCTTCTATAACTTAATGAAAATTTAATGGTGGTATTCCAGTGGCTAGAGATTAATCGTTTGTAGTGAACATAGCTTGGATTGGGACATGGTTCAGGGTATTTTTATGATAGCTTTTTCTGTGTCAGTTGGATTAGCTGTTGTGTGGGTAGTTCAATTTATTTACATGACTCACTTTTTTTTTTTTTTTTTAATATCATAGTTCTTCCCTAAGAATATATGAAAATGCCCTATTTGGAATGCCAGTTTTTACATGCAGAGAGAACAGAATTTTCTCAGTAAATGCAAATAGTTTGGGAAGTGGGTGATTTTGAGGGAGGAAAGGGAAAAGAAGTAAGAGGAGAATCACCGTCATTATAGATTCCTTGTTCCTGCTTGCACTATATGTGCATTTATAACTGTGCCCTTTTCCCCATTCCATCTTCTGTCTGATCCGTGACACTTTTCTGCCAGATCCCTGGACTATGGCATACAGCAAAAACTTCAAGAGGAAATTCTTCTTCAACAAGATGACCAACGAATCAACATTTGACCTCCCATCTGAATCCATCGCACCTTTTCAGTGAGTACAAGCTTTGGCAATTGCCAGAGCTGAGACTAAGGAACGAGAGCTGGGTTTGCACTGCAAGCACAGCTTGGTCACAAGCATAGCATGCTGCATAGACCAACCTCAGAGTTGCACAAAGCTGCTGATCTGAATCTGTGGAATTTTGCTATGAGTAACACATTTTCTCACAACTTCCTCCCTCTGTCTGCAGCAGAACGCAAGTGATTGAATCTCTTGGCACCCTAGGAAATGGAGGCTGAGTCCAGTAACTGTAATCTGTTACATCTCTGTATGTGATGATAATTAGTTGGAAGTTGTTGATTGAAAAGTCAGCCTCAGTTGATTTAGCCCAAACTCTGGTATAAGTTGTAGGTAACTGGGAGTTGTTTAATGAGGGAGTGAGGGAGAAAAGCAGTGTCTCCTTGGGCACTGGGCAGTCAGCACTGTGGCTGCTGAATGCCACTGCTATCCAATTGAGTACTATGCCAAGACAATCTCTTCAGTGCAGCAAATTTTGAGTCTGTCTAGCATGTCAAAGCTCACGGATGGAGATGTTCTTCATTCTTTGCCTTTAGTTGGTCTCAGGAGATGCCTGCCACTACCAAGGACTTTGCCTCTGAAAATAGGGTTCTTAAGTTTCCCTTAACCAGCTAAATAGAAGAAGGAGCTTAAAACTGTAAAAGCAGAGGCAGGTGGTGCTTTTTCCTTTCATGCCTCGAGGTGGAGTTAGTTTGGCCTGTGCACTCAGAAATAGGCTAGTATTAACCTGTAGGAATGGCTGAGGACTTGCAGTGCCTGTGTAGGAAGAGTTGTGCTGTATTGTGGTTAGTGAATACTAATGTGTCTGTAATTAGCCACTGACATGTGCTCTTGTCACTGTGCTAGTATCGCTTTGTTAGAACAGTAGCACTAAATAAGCTATGAATATTTTGTCAGTAATTGTACAGAACTCAAGGCTGCTGTGTCAGCAGTAATTAGCAGCTCTGTTTTCATTATGGCTGGGACTGTGTCAGTGCAGTGAGAGAGGGCTGTGCTTGATGGGTGAAATGAGAGATGGTGTTGTAGGATCAGAACTCTCTGCTGCTGATGGAGCTTGGTTATTTCACACAGGAGGAGGAATGATCCTAGCTGTTTTTGTACAGGACAAAGAGCTGTTCATTTGCAAAGATCCGTAGGACAGCTATTACTGATTCTAGTAGGTTTATGGTGAGTGATTAGATTGCTGCTGCTGGCAGACTTTCTAAATTCTTCATTAAGGCCTTTCTATTGCCTGCATTGACATTTTCTGAAAAACTTGTGGGGGGAAGGCATGTTTTTCCTAATGATCTGTCTCCTTCCAGCAAATACTGAACCGAATTTTGAGTGAAGCTAGAAATTAATAAGTTTGTTTCCATGGAAATCTCTTAGGCTTGGAAATTTCTGTACCTTAAGGGCCATGGAGTTTGCAAGGTGAATGAATGAAAGCATTGTCTTTTTCTAAGGCACTCTTTAGATCTACAGTACCTTTGTGTGACTCCCAATGCAAGAGAAGCTCTCTGTATTCCACTTTCTGGCTGTGATAAGTGTTCTTCCACTCTCTTGCCATATTAATCTCACTTTCCTCTTTGTCCACAGTGTATGTCATTACAGCCGTCTCTTCTGGGAGTGGGGAGATGGTGTCAAAGTGCATGACTCTCAGAAAAGGCAAGATCCAGAGAAGCTATCAAAGGAGAATGTCCTATCTTTCATCCAAGCACACTACCCCTAGCCCCAGCTCTCTTGAAGGGTGCTGGGAAGAGGCTGAGCCCAGCTCGGATTCTTCAGGGACTGACAAGACTGGGAGACTCCACAACTGTCCTAGCCTTTTCCAGAGCTGATTCCCTGGATGTGGTCTAACCTGGAAATGACGTGCAGAAGACATAGGACAAGACTCTGAACTTGGCAGTGTATATAAGAGTATGACCCAGGTAGTGCCTGCTGCTGGAGTACTTCTGGTGGCTCCTGGAGTGAAGGCCTAATGCCCTTTTGTCCTGACCTACTGCATGCATGAGGCCAAGAGGCTAGCAGCTTTCTTTGCTCCTGTTAAAATATTCAGCAAGGTTTGTGGAGCTCTGTGCGTCAGGACTCTCCAGGCTTGTGCTTCCCTGGCAGTGGGAAGGAGCAGATGAAAGTGGCAGTGCTGGGCAACAGCACGTCGATGCAACCCTGCGTCGTACCTGGCAGCTGTATGTCCCCTTGGCTTGTTAAAGGCCTTCACTGCCTAGTGGAGGCTATTAATTCACTGGGGAATGCTAGCATTGGGGTGCAAACATGAACTTTTTTTGGTGTTTCCAACACATCAGCTTTCCAGGCACTTGGCTTGCCAATGGCAATTCCGATGTGATGGTATCCTGTTGGACAGAAGCCAGCACAGGTGATGAGTAGACTTCCTGGCACGAATTTCATGTTTCAGTGCCAGGATTTTCACAGATGTCCACAAGCTGCTGTTTCAAGGATTCTTCCTTTGCAGGTCAGTGACTGATCCTGAGCCAGCAGCCTGCAGTTAATTCATGCAAGTGTTTATGCCTCATGGTAATTCTGAGACCAAGGTGCTTTGGTTCTTAGTACTTCATGCTGTTACCCAAATCTTCAGGAAGAAAAGTGGATGTGGGAGGGAAGACATAGGAAGTTGGGGATGCTAGAAGTGTTCAGAGGAAATCATGGGTACGTTTGATTTTTTTGTTAAAAGACCCAGGACTTCAGTGAAGAGAGATCTTGCCTTTGACCATGTTGGTTAATTAGAAGAAATCCTCTCCCCTGCCTGTGCCCACTGGAAAGGTTATCAGACTTTCCTTTTTAAATGTCAGAGTGAGCTTTGACACTCTCCATGTCTCATCTGGCCCTGGAGCTACACCTGGGGTGAAGAGGGTGAAGACAGTGCTGTGACACTCAGCATGAAACTTATTTCAACAGACTTCTCAGCGTTATTTTGCGCTGAGCTGAAAAATATTCTTCCGTTGCATGACGTTCAGTTCTGGCTTCCATGGGGCTTTTGGCCAGGTCTTCCACTTAAATCAGAAGCTAACACAAGTTGACTGCTTTCAGCCAAGCAGCAAAGTTGCCTTTTTTGTTTGTTTCTTTTTAAACATAGATTGACAATAGGGAGGAAACTGATTTTGGGGTAGTCTGAACTGTGCCTTAAAGAAAGCTATAGGTCTCCTTGGAACTATAGCAGTTCCTTAGATTCTTATTTTTCTCCCCAGATCTGTATGTAATATTTTAACGAGCTTTATGTAGTAAGACATGGAAATTTTCACTCACGGTTCTATAGATAGGATGGGTGCCCTGCACCACTCCCAAAGAGGCCGTAACAAGGTGCACATTGTAGAAGTCCTGCTTTCAGCCACCCTCTAAGGTCCAGCATACTGCATGAGTTTTGCCCTCAGCATCAGCATGTAGTGAATGTCATCCTGCTAGGTGGCTGTGCTCTCTGAGCTTAGAGCATTTCCACGTCTTTAGAAGTGCATCATCTCCATAAAACCACAGTTTCTGTTTTGTTTTTGTTTTTTTTTTTTTTTCTTCAGTTTGGTATAAGTAACAGATACAAGTCCTTGCACCAGGCGAGTTTAGATGCGGGCTCACTCACTGCAGAACCACAGCTCCTGGCTAGGGGAGCAGTGCAGAAGCTGGCATGTCTGTTGGTGAATGAAAAGTGGAAGCAAAACTTGGGGAGTGAATAGGAGGCTGGGTTGGTAATAGATTGCCCTGAATACAGTGCGAGGGAGCTATTCTTTTCTCTCAAGCTCCAACCTAAAGTGATGGAAGTGGATAAAAGGATCTTTTCCCATGTTGGTGGTCATTAATGCCTAGATACAGGTCTACTGGAACAGTTGATGGACTGCATGTCGTTACTGCGTCCTGTGGATGACAGTCTGCCCTCTATTTTCAAGTATAGCTAATACATCTATGAGAGAAATGGCAGGCTTCCTTCCCCCCACCCAAAGAACAAGAGCTCTGTAACTGGTAATTTTTGCTGGCAAAAGCACTTCCACAGGGGATGAAGAGGACTCTCTACGACTCTCTAGTGGGCAAAAATGCACCTCCAACTGTGTGGTTTCCAGGCCTGTGAGCAGCTGGCTTTATAAGTGAGTAACTTGAGTTCTGGCACTTGCCTTGAGGCTGCTGTAATGCCAGCAAAGCATGCTGCTCCCTTTGCCAGGCTGCGTTGGTAAGTATTATGTCCTCCACTTGGGGTTTCTGACCCTCCTCTGGGCCAGCAGACAAAAGGGTGACTAGGAAGTGTACTGTAGAGCTTGTAGGCTTCTGAGGACGCAAAAGAAACCTGATGAGCAGTCTGGCTTTTGCAGGTATTTTCTATTTGCCCTGTTGCCTCCAGTTCCTCCCCGTTTTAATTTGCTTTTATTTTTATTTTTGATGCACTGAACCTTGATTCTGAATCCCAATTCAAGAAGGCAAATGTAAGGCACCATGCTACTTTGCTTAAGGGAATGTTTATGTATGTGAATGGTACAATGTATTGTCATTAGGCTGTGTATCATTTTGTGTTGATTTCTCTGCTTTTGTTGTCTCTATTACCAATACAGCCCCTTTAATTCACCTCACTGCTTGTTTACTTTGTTTCCCACAAAATTTGGGCTAGCAGCCTGTGTTAGTGTGGCAATAGGAAACACCTTGCAGAGTTTAAAATTTTGAAGATAGAGCCCTTCTAAAGGCTTTCCTGACAAGTGCTCCCTCAGGGCTTCCTGAGGTATGTCACTGGACCAGAAAGAGAGGAGACTGCAGGATGATAGGATCCTAACCAGGGGCCTGAGACGAGGCCTGCTGCAAAACTGGAGGTGCAACAAAAAGGGGAAGGAAAAGCTGAAAGCTGCAATGTCAAATTACTTTATTTAAAGCCCTACAAAGGCACTTCCATCCCTGGGAGTTGACAATAAAATCTTTTCTGCATATGTTGACTGAGGCACAAAATAGTTACCAAACTGACACACAAGAGAGGTATGTACGTATTTTCAAAGTCCAAGTCTGAAGATCTCAAGTTGGCTGCTATGTGCCTGCATAAAAGATACCTACCTCCCATCTGTTTTTATAGAGGTAGGGTGGTTTTGGTCCTCTTATGTTGAAATGGAAGAAGAACAGTCTGTGTTTATCTCAGCTTTGGAGACACGTGGTGTCCATGCCACAATGCAAAAGGTTACTCTGATTCAAAGAGCCTGGTGTCCCTTCAATTTAGGGTTGAGACACAACAACCAAGGAGGTGAAATGTGTTCTGACTAGCTTGGGCAGAGAGCACTTGTGTGCAACTAGAGATCCTCTTCAAAAGGGAGAACATACTACAGTCCTACATCAGGCCTGAGGGTCTTGACTACAAGTTGGGTAAGAGTTCCAGCTCGAGTTCTGCTCAACTTGTTTTCCCAATGTGAGTGCGATGTGATTTCTAGTTTGCTTCCTCAGTTCTCGGAGAATATTTTAGCTTCCCTAAGGTGAGGCTTTGAGAAAAGAAACAAGAACAGCAGTCTGAAATGCTGATCCTCACTCTCAGGAAAGGTGCAGTGGTGAGAAGGAAGAGCTCCTTGCAGTAGAATCATTTGGTCAGCAGGGAGAATTCTTGAGTGCAATCACATTGTCCAGCAGGTGTAAATAAGAGCAATCAACAACACCATGGCCACAGCAAGGGCAGCATTCTTGCGATTTTCCTTACGAAGCACACTCAGTTCTTTCTCTGAAAAAAAAAAACCCAAACCCAAATCAAAACCCTTGTGTGTGAATGCTGTTTTGTGTTTTGCTGCTGTATCTCCTTTAAAAATTGTTTTACAAGCACAATGCTACCTCGTCAAGGCCTCCTCTTGAGTCTGCTAATTATAAAATATCCTGGGCAGGAAGGAGGCTAGCAGGAACTTTTCATTTGCTAATACATCCTGTCACTCTCAGTAGCTGTCTTTAGGATTGCTTCAGTCCCAGTCCAGTTCCTATCTGCAAATGACCTTGTTCTAGGACCATACTAAGGATTGGCTTGTTCTTTAGAACAACTGTTTGCTCCTTTAGGGAAGGAAGAAGAGGACAGAGAGGGCAGAGAGTTATTTTTACCCTTTTTTAGATGTAATTTCAGGACTCTCAATCCAATCTTTTCTCAGTGCTTTAACTAACTTAAAATACAACAAACTAGCACTGCTATCAAAAGAGGCTTTTAGCTGTTCCTTCTGCCCCTGTTCTTTGCCTGGTACATGTTCGTACATCCACCCAACCACTGTAATCATAGCCTCAAGTATGTCAGCTGGAACAAGCATGGATTTAATTAGAGGCCAGAGTGATGACCTAAAAAGACTGTGTGCAGAGGCACTGTCTATTCTGCTCCAGAAGGAGCAGCCATCACCATTAGATGAGGCTGTTGCTGCTGTCTGAGCAACCTGTTAGACTTCTCTGTTGATGGCTGCTGTGATGGTTGACTGCTGGTACAGAGGTGGCAGCCACAGCCTGCCTCTCCTCTAGTGTTAGGCCCTTAGGGAACTGGTTTGAATGTATTTAAAATAATTGTTCTTCTTCTGGAAGCAAACCTTTAACATCAATTAAAATTTTAAATTCAAATTTAGTGGCCATACCTTGACTTTCAACTCTCTGAGCCTTGAAGAACACTTGTGCTTCTGTCCCTTGGGTGAGCTTTGGTGCTTGCACTGCTGCAGAGTGGATCTGTTCAGAGCTGGGAGGCAATTAAATTTCCTCTAGCTTACTACATGAATCTATCTCTGTCAGAGCAGCCTCGATATAGATGGGTTATGGCCACTGTGGAAGTACACATTCTGCTGTATCTGGTCTATTTTGGCTTCTCCCACAGATGCTGATATCAACCAGACCCCCCTTCACCCATCTTTTGCCCTTGAGCAGCCTAGGTGGAGCCTATGTTTTCCAGCTCCTCTCCTGTGAATGAGGCAGAACCCTCATCTTCCCTTATAAATATACATGCCATGGGCTGAGTACCCAGGGAGTGGGGTCCAATGGTGCCCCTCACTCCAAGTGCTATCCTGTAGTGCGCACAGTAGGGCTCCGGGCAACTGCAGTTTTGCTGTGATGCTCACCTAGGAAATCTGGACTGTGAACAACCAGAGCATGACAACATGCAAGGCAGCATCCCCAACAGCACGAAAATACTGTCAAACATGCAGGAGCTCAAGAGGACTCTTGTTTTAACTGTCTGCAGTAGGGAATGACCCTGGTGCTCTGATATTGTAGGCAGCAATTCAATGTGAACTTATGCTGATGTGTAGCATAGCCCCCAGAGACCAATGCAGGGAGAAGCTTCCCCAAGGAAAGTACACCTGGCTGTACTCCAGTCAGCATTTAAAAGATTGCTCAGCAATTTTTTATTTTTTTATTTTTTTTTTAAAGAAAGGGTAGAAGTTGTTAAAAGCCTCACAAGCCAATCTGTCAGCTAAGACTTTATAAATAGTGGTAGCTTGGGGTATGCGAAAGGGATTTTTTACCTCCTTCATCAGCTGATACCTAATTTTTTTCTCCCTTATAATATCATGGCTCAAGTAGATGCAAAATGGGCTAAAAAGATTTCCCCCAGTCTTGCTCCCTTTGGTTGAGCCTAAATTCAAAGGCAGAAGTTAGAGATGGCAGGAGCTTGAAGATGAAGCTCAGCTGCAGCACTGATGCCATTCAGCCCAGAGGGACCATTTTTAATGAAGCTCTTACCATAGTTGTCAGCTTTGGTCATTAGTAGGTTTCTCTCTCTCTCCAGTGACTTTCTGTAATGAGAAGAAAAGTTCATTACCCGTGAGGCACAAAACAGCCTACTTCTTTACTTATACAATGGAAGAGAGACTGTCCCACTAGCAGGAATATTTGCTAACAGAATGAGCTTATCACCACTTTCACTGTGTGTAGGTGACAATTTAGAATCTCCCAACTGAGCAAGAGAAGAGACAAGACAGTTTTAGATGACTTTTTACTTTTTTCAAGATATTTTTTTCTCTCTTTCAGGATAATGTCATTACAGGTCAGCAGGACAGGAGTGTCTGTCCAACGGTGTATTCTCTCTGTTCCTCTAGGTGGGATAAGTCCTGCCATGACTTCAAGATGGGGCAGGATCCACACATGCTCTCTATGGAATCCTGCCCCTCTGGTACATCTGTCCCAGTGCTGGAATGCTAATTCTTTTCACTGATTGAAGCTGGAATCCCTTTGTCAGTGGTATCCAATTTATACAACTTGGTCAACCCAGAAACAAGCTGAATCCAAGCCTGTAACAACCAGCTAAACAACCTGTTGTAGACTGAAGTCCCAGGGTACTACTAATAAAAAGCAATTCAGGCCTACCAGCTCTTGCACAATATGATTAATTAATACACAGTTTAAAATATAAAAGCAAAACAAATTGCCTAGGAGCAGCAGCATTCCCATTACAGCAGTGAGGACATGGCCACTCCTTTCAGATTGTGTGCATATAAACAAACGTGCACCAGCAAATCATCTCCTCGTTCAGAGCAGACAGAAAAGGTGGCAAGCATAATAGTTTGTTGTTCCCTACGGGGCAGAGCAAGGAGCTGTTCTAGAAACAGATTCCATACCTGTGAACATCTTCTTAACCTATGTGTACATCCTCTTAAGTGAGAGACAGCAAGAAAGCAGGCTTCATCAGCATCTGGAGAGTAAAGCGCTTTTACATGCAGTCAGGAAAGGAAATGCAGAGTGCACCCAGGAGGAAGTGAGAAGACATTTGCCAACAAGGCTGAGCTGCTGCTTAGAAACTTTCTTTGTAAACATAGTCAAGAAAGCTGATTGGAAGATGAGACAGGAAGAAAACATGGGTAACTGAACTTCAAAGTGGGAAAGCAGAGCTCTCCTTCACGAACTATGTGCTGCGCCAGGAATTTTGATCGTGGTACCTTCTGACATGGTTTGTGAATGTACTGAATTAGGCAACAGAATTTCCACTTCCAACTCCATAGAAGTTGTACAATTTAGAAAAGGTCCCAGAATTCCCATATCTTAATTCTTTGCTCTTATTTTCAAGGAGAACTCATACAGATATATCCCATCTTGTCAATTTACCAACTATAGGTTGGTTTGTTGGCCACTTCACTAGCAGATGATTGCAGACAACAAGCATTAAAAAAAAAAAAATTAGGCCTAGATAACAGACTGGTGAAATGGGGAGCTAGAGATGAGTGACAGGGTGACACAGGACCCTGTCAAAATACAAATGAGGGATATGACACTCCAATAAAGGAGGAGAAAAAAACCAGCGTGGCTTAATGAATGTGCAGAGCAAGGCAACTGAGTAGAAGAGAAGAACAAAGAATATAAGCTGAGGGTGGTGAACATCAGGGTGTGAAAACACTGTCACTGCAAGGATGATTTGTAACTGTGCTCTGTACAACTAAACAGGCAACAGGAAATTTCCTTTCCTTGGCCTGCAATTGAATTTACCAGCCTTTTTGACAGGAGCAGAGCAATAGGATGCTGGAAGAACATCCACAGACATATAAATTTGAGAATCATGTGGGAGATCAACTATTTCTTGCTTAACATTCTACAGAAAGATCAGGCTCTGCCTGTGCCTACTATAAAATCCAGGTGAAAGTCCTGTCCTCAGTTCCTATTTTACAGCTGCCTCTTTTACATCTGTAAAAGATTTCACAGCACTTGTCCTTCTACCCTTTCCCAAGAAAAGTCAGTGTGTCACTGCATCCCTATATCCAGACATATTTGCAACGCTGGCACAACTAGAGTAATTTCCCTCAGCCCCTTTTCCAGTTGCAGCACAACCTGGTTGGGCCATCAGTAGTTGCTGCACATCTTCCACAGCTGAACTCAGGCAGCTTCAGTTAGGCTTGAGTAGCAGTGTGCAGTGAGCTCTGCGTTTCATATACAGATGCTTCCCAGCAGGACAGGACCCTGCTTTGCTAATGAACAGTTAAGCTTTGCTTGGCTAAGTGCGACGCAGGTTTCAGAGGGAGGCTGTAAGATAAAGCTCTCTCCATGTATCACTGAACTTCTCACACTGGCAAGTTCTCCAAGATGGGAGGAGACAGTCTTGTAAAGAGGAAGCATGCATTCCCATTCTTGCTCAGCGCCACAGCAGGATGAAAGCTAACTGAAGTGTGCAGCCACAGCTGTGAATGGAAGTGGTCATTCATACCTTCCTTCATGGCTGAGCTTCTCCCTGCGCAGTTTGAGATCTACTTCTTCCATGCTCTGTCTGCAAAGTGACAGCTTTTCCTCCAGTTCATCAATCTGGAAAACACATCAGTCACTGTCATTTCCTCTCCCAGCTAAAATGGTTCTATCTCTATTCAGAAGGAAAAGGCGCTTCTGCTGGAAACACTCATAAACACCCAGCAAGAGGTTCTGCATTATGTCACCTGGATGCAGCTTAGACAGTAAACATATTACAATACACCATGCCTTCTCTGAAACCAGTGCTTAAAAACCATGTTAATACAATTTAAGAGCAGCTTTGGTTAGCAAGCTGCTAGCCCCACTGCTAAATTATCCATGCCACTGCCTTCTCCATCCTCTCCACCAGAACTATTCTTCCTGCTCAGTCTGCAGTCGTTCTCAATGGAACACTCTCTGTCCATTGGTTCATCATTTCATGAGACATAACAAAAGATATTCTGCCCAATTCTGTCAGTGCTCTTACTTTCTGCTGACTAAAAATCTCCAGATTCCACACAATGCTTTAAAAGATGCAGCTGTTTTTACTGCTCTTAAATCAAACCCAAAGTTTGGCTCCCCTGCTGGAGAACAATAATTTGCTAATAAACCACTTGCCATTGAACTGCACCATCAGCTTTGCTGAGCTAGGGGCACAAGGGACAGAAAGTAATTACAATGAAAGAAAGACAAAGGAGGAATAGACTGCTGAATGAACAAAAATATTTTTTCCTCTGAAATCCTGCTGTTTCTTTTCTTCAGGCTGGTCTGGGGCATTAGGGACTGGAAGGAAGGTTGCGAGTGAGGATCCTAAGAAGTCATGTATTCACAGTGCCTCAGTTTCCCTGCTTGCAAAATAAGGTGAGATGCAGAGCTGTCCTTCCTCTCCCCATGGAAAGTCAAGTCCCAGCAGCTTCATATGTATACAAACATCTCAGGCCTGCTGCCTCCCTCACTACAAAAGATATGATGAGGCTCAGAGCCTCTGAATTCACTGAATTCTGGCAATGCTTACTTGTAATCTGGAGACCTTCTTAAAACAGAGGAACCCAGAGTGCACTTCAGTCCAAACTGACTTACACCATTATTAAATCTCATTTGTCAGGACCACATTGGACAGGGAGCCTGAAACAGCTTGCATAAAGGCAGACGAAAAGACAGAGGGAAGCTGCTTTGCTTACAGAGTTGAGCTAGATCCCTTTTAATACATTTTGTAATGAATTAATAAAAGCTTTCTTTCCAGCAGAAAGGCTAAAAGCACTTTTCAGAAACTGGCATCCACCCTCCACTTTTATGAATTCCCTAATTAAGACACTGGCAAAGCGCCGTATCACGCATACGCTGACATCCAGCAGTGTCAGGTAATGAGGTTTTTGTCTTCTGACCCTCATAAAAGAGATCAAAGCCAAACGAAGAGGTGGGGGCGAAGAAGAAAGACGTTCCCCGAGCAGCCTTCTCATGCCTCGTCACCCGCCAGCACACTCGAGCAGCTCCTTTCACGGAGGAATTAGTGGTTCTTACATCTACAAATTCGGTTACGTTATTAAAGTAGGTCCAGCAGAGATTACTTTTTTGAACTGTTTACATTTAAATGCTAACTCGTGGTTCATGGACGTACACCCATTCTCACCACACTTTTAGAATAATTCATTTCATGGCAAATCATTTTACAAACGCTGTACCCACAGCAGGCTAGAAAACACATACCAGGCACGATACTACGGTCTAAAATAGATCCAGCAGATCAGCTTGCTGTGCTGGGAAAGGAGAAAGGGCCGGATCCCACTTAAATCTACCCTGGGTCTCCTCCTTCACTCAGCCTCGAATCTATCCAGTTAGCAAGCCCGCCCCGAATCAGCCCAGCAGCTCTGCAGGGCAGCAGTCAGACGGGAACACGTCATGTGGAGACTCATTCAGAAAGCTTTATCAACCACAGCAGCTCAGGAGGTAACACTGGACGGAAAGCTGAAATTATGATATCAGTAATGAAACACAAGCTTCACTTTCTCTGATTTGAAGGGATTTTATTTTCCACCCCCTACCTATCCCCCGTGGGTACAACAGAGACAAGCCCTGCAGGCACGCACAGCCCAGCACTCCCCGGGCTCAGCCGCCCCGCACCGCCGACCCCTCACCTCCCGGGCCACGCTCAGCCCCTCTCGCTTCCTGCCCATGGTCCCGGGTCCGTCCGCACACGCGCATGAGCAGAGCGGCGCCCCGCTCCCCCATCCGAGCGCGGCCACGTCCGCACGGCCGGCGCCATCTTGGTGAGGCGCCGCGCTGTGAGGCGGCCGCCATCTTTGTGAGGGCGTTGCTTGGCCGCCTCACGGCCCATTAGTTCAGAAATGGCGGTGGCGGGGGGTGTGGTGGTGTCCGAGTAAAGTGGATTTTCCGCTCTCTAGGTGACCCCCGGTTCCTCACGGCAGGGCTTTGGCAGTAGTCAGCGATATCCTGTCATCTGACAAGCCAGATGCCTTTGGGTTTGTCGGAGGGCGAGTCTGGACTGACAGGGCAGTTTTCCTCTGATGGGAGCCATCAGTGGTCCTTTGGCGCCCATGTTACACATTCAGCTCTAGCTGGGCATGTGTCAGTAACAGCCTAATTTTCTCTCTGTAGAAACTAATGTAAGAGCATCTGTGCTTTTTTCAGCTTCCCACTCAGGTGCTTGGCAGTGTTGTGGAGTGAACCCAAAGGAGCCTCAACTTCCACCTTCCAGGAGAAACACAGAAGAGAGTCAGAAGGAAGTGAAGAACCTGAGCAGGACTAGGCGAGCAGCCCTAGGAAAAGCACTGGGGCAGGGAGAAAATGAAGAAGCAGGATTCTGTCATTTTTTCCTCCTCTTAGACAGAATAGTTGCTTAGTGAGTGTAAATACAATCTTAAAATGCATAAAGGCTTGAAGAAAACTCATCTGTTATGGTTTGCAACTCAACAGAAAGCATTTTCTCCTTTACGAAGGTGACTATTGATTCACAGGAGGTCTGTCAATTCTTACATGCACGCTTTGTCACAGATACACACATCCTATTTTGCGTGCAGATGAGTGTGACCACAAAAGATGTGTTGTCACATGTTTTGGGAAGACAGAAGGGGAAAAGTGGTTCCTTCTTCATGAACAAACTATAGATTTTAATTCATGTCTTGTTCCTCCTGGCCCTTCTGAATTCATCAGGCTGATAATCTCATTATGCCACTCTCATGGTCTTAGATCTCCTTGTTCTGCCCTGAGCAGGCGCCCCCTCTTCAGCCTTTTCCTGCATTACATCTTCATTTCCTTTTTAATATCATTCAGGTCACCTACACATTAACACAAGAAAGAAAGAAACTTCCTCTGCAATTTTTTAATCTTTTCCTTCTTGAAACCTGAAGAACAGTTCTGGAAGCTTTTCACATGCAATAATCTTTTGTTGTTGTTTTTTTTTTTAAATATATACGCATATGAGTATGAATTTGAATGATTCCATATCAAGTGGCTGCTGACAAGCCACATGCATATTTAAACTGGAAATCAGAAGTTTCTGGCTGTGAGTGCAATCAGATTATGGAGCATGCTTGTTGCAAGAGAAGTAAAAGAATGAGGTAGTTTTCAGTCAGCTTTTGAAAGGAACGTTCACTGGCCATTCCATCTACGCGCCAAAAGGTAGGATCAGATGTACTGATGCCCCCCAAGTGAATGTTTGCTTTACCTACACACCAGGGATGCTACCACTGTTTTGATACCCATTCTACTGCTCTTTGGCCAGGAAGGCTTCCCTCCTGTTTACAACATAATTGAGCTTGTTGCATCTCAACCTGTTTTCAGGAGACAAGGAAGAATTCATCAGCATTTGTTACCTTCTTCCTCTCCTGATCTGCACTAAGCCTCTCTAACTGAGACCTTGCTGGTATTGAAAAAGTAAAAAAAAAAAAGAAAAGATTACTCCCTTGTCTTCTATAAAGTATGCCTTATTAACGTACCCAAGAATGAAATTTGCCTTTTTATGCAACGTCTTCACAATGATGGTGTTCAGTTCTTGATCCCTGTAACTCCTTGATCCATTTTCTCAGTGCTGTGGTAAGTCACCTCTTCTCCCCCCCCTTTTTTTACCGGTGCATTTAATTTTCATACATCTCAGTGCAGTATTTTATACCACTCTTACAGAATTTTAGCTGACTGGCTGTGAGATGTTTCTCCAGTTTTTCAAGATCTTTTGGTTTGCAGTGCTGAATCTTGCAAGCTCTTCCAGGCATGGGACTGGTACACCTCTGTATTTCATTATCTGAGTTATTGAAGAAAATACTCAGTTGTTCTGGTGTGGCATCTCTGGAACTGATCTCAGCAAGTCCTCTTGTTCTAACTGTAGAATACTGGTAACTGCTTTCAGAGTTCATACCCATAACAACTATCATACTGGATTGTTTCAGAAAGCCTTACTATGCATCACAGTAGCTTTCAGTGCTGCTCCTGGTATACCTACTATTCCAGTTACTATAGCAAAGAAAGTTATCTAGTTTGACGTGGCTTGTTCTTGGTTTTCACTCAGCTGCCTTTTTTTCTTTTTTTCTTTTAATCCCTAGGTTATTTAATAATTTGTTCCACATTCATTCAGAAGATGGAAAGGTAATGGCTGAGAGCTGAAGAAGCAATATTTTCATGAAGGCTTAGGGATGCTTGATTTTTATCAGGGCACTGCTGACTTTGAGGGTAATTTAATAGAACAGACATTAAGTCTTCACTACTAATTAAGACTTTACTAGTAAATCAAATAACGTCAAGCAATGTTCCCAGAATACAAACTCAATCATCTGTGTTAAGTGTCAGCACACCCTCAGCATGATTTGGCTTGGTCCCCCTAGGACAGTCCGAAACAGCATTTAGGCATGATTTGGATGTTATCACAGGCCAAGCACCATTCCCAGTAGGCTTTTGCATGAGGTCACTGTTTCAGATAATATGGATGTGAGCCATTCAATGCTAGTTTGCAGGATGCGTCTAGGAGAATGTTCCTGGGCACTCCTGATTTACAATCTTCCTACCTCTTTTTGCCTTCTCCATCTGCAAGATTCACTGTGCTCTCTAGGCACAAATGAATCAGTCCTCTGACAAGTCTGAGAGGAAGCTGAGGCCGACACCTGACTTCATAGATGTGAAGAGTGAGACAATATCTGGCCCATTCTTTACAGCAAATAAGTAGCTGAGCTGGTGCTGAGTCTGGGGGCCTGGGCTCTTATCTTAGACTGTACTATGGAGACCATTCCTCCATTCCCCCGGCATCTCCTTTTCCATCTTGTCAGGCAGTGCCTTGTGAACTGTGGAACTGGAGGGACCCCCATGAAACTTCTGAGAACAGATTTCTCTAACATATCAGGTGCCTAGTCCGGTGCCTTCACTCCTCTCCCATCCCAGCGTTGCTGTTTAAATGGAGCTGGTCACTGGGACAGGATACCCATGACAAAGGAATTGGCAGAAAATGTCACCAGGGCTGAAATAGAGATGTGTATTGACCTTCTGGAAGAAGGAAGGGCTGAGTGATCAGGAGAGAAAAAGCAAACAGAGATGCTGTGAGCTGGATCTGAGCAGGATGATGAAGAGCTTGGGAATAGCTGATGAATGGCTGCTAAGACATGCTGAGCTGAAACTGGACAAATACCCTGTCTTTAGAGATGCCTTGTCAACAAGGGCTTTGCTTTTCTCCCATCTCCTTCCTATATGACTAACTCATATATTCCCCTTCCTTTTCTATAAGCAGGGATGAAATTCCAGTTCTCTGATAATGACCAGGTAGTGAATTCCAGTGCAGAAATGTCTGCCCCTCGTGGGGACAACAGCAGAATTAAGTGCCACCGGGTAACAGAAGAGTGACAGATAGCACTGCTAGGCTTCCGCAGGCTGAAAGATGCTCCTGTACTGGAGTGCTTTTTCCCTCTTGGAAGATATATATAGAGAAACCAGTGGAGTGTATCTTTCATTTGTGTGTATCATATTCTCTGCTTCCACCTTGATGAGCTCCACACAGATTCTGGGAACAGCTTGAGATTATGGAAATAATTAAATGAAATTAATCAAAACAACCTACCCTGAGACAGAACTAGCATTGGTGAAATACAGAGTTGAGCCAAGAAGGGATTCTGTAGCCAGGGATGATGTCTGCTCTCATCAATAGATTCTGTTTGGATGAAATCCTGTGTCCTACATGCCTCGGTCAAACATGTGGAGCTCTGAGGAGTTGTGCGCCTCATGCAAGATCTTGACTATCCACGCAGTGCAGTAATTGCAGCAGGGAACAGATGGAGTCCTGCTTTTTGCAGAGCCAGAGACAGCATGGTGTCATAGATCTCAGTTTGATACTGAATGAAGCTGAACTCCAAGTCATGCTGTGTTAGTTTGGAGAATACAGGAGAGCTGGAATGGCCTTTAGAGATGTGATCCAAGGAGGATTCATGGGGTCCAGTTGGTGGGTCCCATTCTGCAAACCTGGGGTTCTGATTTGCCCGAATGTATTACTGAAAATTGGAGATGCCCTACTGCTTTAGTCTCTGTCTGTTCACTCAGGACGTACCAGCCCTAGTTTTCTTATGCCAGGTACTAGTTTGCAGGCATTTTTCTGAGCCTGCCCCAGCCACTTGTGTTACTTGTTCTATGAAAGCATTGCTATCCTCCTGTGAACATGCTGCAGCACCTCATGAGTCTGAAAAGCCGCGCAGGCATAGTTCCTATCTACTGAACACAGATACGTGCATAGTTACAGGAAGAAATATCTGATAGGCTGTGAGGTGCTTAGATATACTGTGGGGATGGGTCCCTTATAAATATCTGAGAACAGAGAGACCTAAGCAGCTTTATGAAGTACTGTGTTATTGGGGCCACAACCCTGTGACTTGAGTTTATTCTGCAGCCAGCGGAGGTGCATCCATCACAGAGATGCGTGCCATGGTGCAGAGACAGTACAGGGCCTCACTGATTGCCCAGGAAGTCACGGGGAGCTGTGTATTTCTAAATCAGGGCATGGCTGAGTGGAACAGCCTGCCCTGCTTTTAACATTTGGCAAGCATCAGATGAGGAAAAACGTGACTGTCACAGCTCCTCAGGATGAGTTCGTTTCTGATGTGCGTGGAAGCTTGGAGGGTCATTTGAGGAAACACCTGATGGCATCCATGCCAGTTCAGAATTGGGTGGCTGACTTTATAGCTGTGTTTTTCAGTGGGGATCCTGCACAAAAGCCTGAGCTTTTCTTGG